GAGCATATATATATATATATATATATATATATATATATATATATATATATGTTTATATATAATAAGTAAATATGTACATCACAGAATGCTTGTTGCATTTCATTCTTCTATGTTGCGGATACACAAGATTCGATATTTGTATAGTTTCGTCGGACGGAGTAGGAAAATTTAGTCGGCGACATTGCGCAGCATATTAAAATACGTTACAGATGCTTTAACAACCTGAAATATAATATTGCGCGGTTATTAAATTATTACTTTAAGAAATACAGCATCCCTGGTGCGTCAAGTTTCAACTTGTTTAACACGTAGAAGATATTTATAAAATATGGTATTCTCTCTCTCTCTCTCTCTCTCTCTCTCTCTCTCTCTCTCTCTCTCTCTCTCTCTTTTATATATATGTATATATATATATAAACTCGCTATAACATGTTGATGAAAAAATAATTTAATATTTTCATAATTGTCACAATAAACGATGGATAATGAATGTAGCTGTTGTGTTATAATTGCAGATCTATAAACAAGTACGTGAAATCGTTCGATTAAATCTTACATCACCAAATGTCTTGAATGATAGGTCCATGATCTTTCCAGCAGTGATCTTCGTGGGTGAATTCGACATGATCATCACCAGCACGATCCCGCGCGCCTTTTTATCCGGAAGACGGTACCACTCGAGATCGCACGATGTACTAGCTACTTTCTCCGCCTGTTATTATTATTATTGTCAAATACATGTAGAAAAATTGTATGAATCCATAACAATATTCTTCCAACAATATTAAAAAATCGTGTCATCACCGATATTCCTTTAAAAGTGAAATTATGACATACATGCATGAGCAAATATTTATCATATAGCATCCTCGTCCATTAGAAGAATCTCTGATTAGTGTAAACTTACCTGTACAGTGAGCTGCTCACCAGTGTAACAAAACAAGAACATGTTTATCATTAGAGATGTAATTGTTATAAAATAGGAGCACATAGCTATCGGGTTGCTATTCTCCCATTCCTATAAATTTAATGTATTATATAATACGCTATTTGTAGTTACGGAAAATTTTAAATAAATTTTTGTGGATAAACAAATTAACACGCACAAATGTACTTTTATGCATAACGTTTGCTGAAACACTATTTTCCTGAAGCATAATTCCCGTGCGTAATATGTAATATTACAAACCATTATTATACAATATCCCAGAATGCAGACGATTATCGTGCACCCCATTAATTCGATCAAACATGCTTGTTGTAGAGTATGCTCTACCAATTGCAAAAAGCTGAAATGTAATTATCAATGACATCAAATCAACATTTTCTGTGCTCGTGTATACGTAAAAAAGAGAAACGAAATTATAAAAATAGATATAATCAATATGTAGAATATCGTACGAATTTTTATGAACGAGTATAATTATGGTTATTTGATGCTAAGCCTTAAGTGGACGATCGTGGCTAATAAATGATACAATTTGTATGCATACTCGAAGTTTTAACTCACTTTCGTACTCTTATTTGATGCTCGACCATTTCGGCCAGTCTTCTGTCCACGTCATATTTCTCTTCCCACCGCTCTTCAACCAGACTTCTCATCAGCTCCATCAGAATCTTCAGCTGGCCGCAAGCGTGCATCGCGAAGACAGCCGCGAGACCGCACATACCCACCGTTATCGAATAGGTAACTATGCCGGACAAAAACTGAATGAGAAAGATCGTCTCGTAAGCAGGGCTGACTTGAATATCAAAGAAAACGAAATAAGCTGGACAAGGCAAGGGTTTGATCGTGAGGTTCTGCGGGGTGACGATCTTCCCTTTGGACAACGGCAAGATCGAGCGGAAGGAGAGTCCGCTGCCATACATGAAGGCCCCGCAAAGCGCGACCAAGCGTCTACCGGTCTTCGCGGATTCGATCATCGTGTCCCGCGCGTCCACGCTCATCGTGTTCTTCCAGTCCTCCTCGATGTGTTTCAGGCAACGCTTGATCTGCCCTTCACGAAATATCAAGTTGCCATATTTACTGGTGGCCATGAAGCCGTAGAAGATCAGAGGGATCGTTTGAATTCGTACGCGCGTCCTCTGCTCGATTAGCCAGAAGAGGAGGCCGGGAATCAAAACGCAGTAGAGGAGAGCGTAGGAGATTGTGATCTGGACAAACTTGCGGAACTTTTCACCGATGGATCTCTTCCGGTTGATGGACGGCCAGACCCCGAGCAGACCCAGAACGTTACGTGTCATTTGCGTGATGTACATTATATCATCGTGATAGTGTTCGTTGAACGGCATGCTTCTTCGTGTTGCAGATCGTCGCGCGCTGGAGAGTCACTTGCTGACGCGAGCCGTCGCGAATTACCAAGAACAGCATTAAATCTTGACGCGTGCTGGATTACGACTGACCGTTGCGAGAAAAAGCCGGCAATAAAGTAAATTTGCCGTTCGGCCGCGCTTGCGCGCCTTAAAGATTCAAATGTTGCGTGAAAGGGAGAAAGTTTGAGAGCGGCCAAGTTCGCATGCCAACTTAGTCAATCCCCGCGAGAGTCGAGGTTGCTTTTCGCGGAAAATATCTTTTCTAGTCGCCGGCCCGTGTATCCTTTTTTCAAAGAATCAGAAATACAAGTGACTTCAACTTTGCTCTTTCCTGAATCGAAACTCACAATTGTAGCCGTAGGACGTTGACAGCGAGCAATAGTTCCGATTGCATAATATAGAATATCTCGACTTTCTTGGGTGCGAAATTCAACGAACGTGGTGACTTCGATTTTACGCAAAACGCGTTGTTGAATTGAATAAAAAGTGAGATTACGTTTATTTCCGTAGGAGGTCTCACTTGCTACGATAAGTGTTAGAAGAAAATATTTCGTAGATTATATAGAAGAAACCACGTATAAATTTGGCATGTTTATTTCTTATAACGGAATTTCGTAATGTAATAATATTGTTCTTATATGTAATATTCTTGTATATTTAACGATAGTATGTGACATGTTTGAGTTAGTACTTGTTGTATAGTTACAGTAATATTTCATACTTACTTTCTCATGAATACTTACTTTAGTAAGTAAATCTTTTTAATTGCTTTTACATTTATTGCTAATGTACAATAACAATAACAAATCTTCGTCAACATATTAAAATATACATATTGCCTTGTTATGTAGAAATTCAACATTACATCTCTGGTTTTCTATTTTTTGTTATTTATGCGGTAAGTTGTCGAAGCATGTTCAAATAGACTAGAGAAGATTTAATCACCTAAAAATTTATTTTCGTGCTTTTGAACAGCCGTTTGTGACATCATTTGCTACTGGAAGATCACTTATCAATTATTGTTTCATTTCCGAAACTCTGTGGAATATAAGTAATATCGTTACTTACGTCATCGAATGTTCTGAAAGATAGATCCATGATTCTCCCCGCGGTAAGTTTTGACGGGACGTTTGACGCCATTGTCACTAATATCATATCTCGCACTATATTCGTCGGAAGACGATACCATTCGAGCGTACAAAAAGTCAAATTTACCTCTTCTGCCTGTCATAAATGATTGAGCCTGTCATAAATATTATTATCGTAACTTGAAAACCAACGTTTTTATTTCCGCTTAAGAAACAATAATTAGAATATAAAATAAAAATATGTATGTTTAATCCAATAAAAATTGTAAAAATATATATTACTATATGAAAGTGGAACTTATTTAACAATTAACAGTTCACCGAATGAGCTCATTTCTGTGTCCAAAATGATATTGCTTATCTTACAAAATAAACATATATGAAAATATGAAGTTGTTTAATTATAAGATTACCTGCGTCGTCACGTATTCCCCGATATAACACAAAATAAATATGTTAATAATAACAGACACGAGACCAGCTATGTATGAAATCAGAGCTGTCATATTTTTATCTTCCCATTCCTGAGAATGAAACTGATATGTAGTCGCGATCATTGGTACATTCGCTAAAACTACACTCGGATAGTATGCATTTATTCGTTTTGCATACCATTATTACACAATATCCAGAAAGACATATGATTATGGTACACCCCATTATTTCGACTAAGCTACTGTAGCGCAATGTAGCTTCCACCAGCAGTAAGAAACTAAAATGCAATAAAGCAATCAGGCACGTTCCCGATTTAGTCAAATAGCGGTTAAAACGCGTTAAAAACAAGCAATGTCCGAAATTATAAATATCTATAAAATGTCTACAATCTATAAAATAACTTCAATCCTGTTCATGCATGACCAAAATTACATAATATGATAAAATAGGAGAACTTACTTTCGTATCCTTATCTGCTGTTCAATTATAGTAGCCAGTTTTGCAGCGACGTCCTTCTGCCCAGAGTTGCTCTTGTCAACAAGATCTCTCATCAATCGCATCAAGATCTCCATCTGAGCACACGCGTGCAACACGAAGAGCGCGGCTAAGCCGCAAATCGTCACCGTAATCGTGTACATGACGAGGCCGCAAAGACATTGCAGAAGAAACACGATTTCATAGGCCGGGCTGTTCTGCGGGTCGAAGAAAACGTAATAACCAGGACAGGATAGCCATCTGATTGTAACGTTCTGATCGTCAACGATCGTCCCTGTCGTCAATGGCACTATCGTATTGTAGGAGACTCCACCGCAATACATGAACGTGCAACATATGGTGAAGAGCCGTCTGCTGGTACTCGCTTTGATCATCATCAGGTCTCGCGCGTCCCCGATTAGCATCGTTCGCCAGTCCTCCTTGATGTACCGCAAACAACGTCTGATCTCACCACCGAATGTTAGTAAGTTACTGTACTTGGCGATCGCCATGATCGAGTACAGAATAGGTGACATCATCTTCACCTTTACTATCGGCTCGTCGTCAGAGAACGCGTAGTAAAGCACACCCGGCACCATGTCGCAATGAAGGAAAAAGTAGCAGATGAACACGAGGAGAATATTTGATATCTTTTCGATCGTATTTGGCCGTCTATCGGTCAACGGCCAGATACCGAGTGTGCGAAGTACGATGCGACTCTGCTGAAGAGCGTATTTCACATCCTCCCGATAATGTACATTATTGATTATCATCTTGATAATTACAAGGTCGTGAAATTTTTCTACGATTTAAGGCCGGGACGGTAAGTTTTTGTAATGTTGAAATTATTGTAAAATTGATCTGCGACAGCGTTGGAAAAAACGAACGAGCAAAAACGCCAAACCAAAATGCTCAGTTAGAGTTAAAGTGAGGGACATTCGGCTTCGTTCGATTTGTACATGGCTCGAGTTTGCTGCTTTCAAGTTAAGTCCTGGTTGTTGATCGCTGACTCACAGGAGACATAATGTCGCATGTCTCGGTCGCGACATGCGCATGCGAGCATTATAAATTGAAAAGCTACGCAGGATGCATTCAATCATTGAAGCGAGTTTTGCGAGTGATCTTGCACGCGACGTGACTTCGACAGGTGCGCTTGCAGCAGTAAATACCGTGGAAACTTTGACTTTGTAACTCGAAATATTACTTTCGAAGTGAGTAACTTTCGAGGAGGGTAAAGAAAAAGAACACGTCGACGGTTCTATTAAGCAACATTACATCGAGATTTATTGGTAAATAGAATTCTTATTTACTCTTGACAGTAAAATTATGATTTTTATCATAGAGGAATATCTTTTGGCAGCCAATGCAATCGATTGTTATAAATTCTTTATTTATATCTTTGCGTTTTAACAAGGGAAATAATTTATCAAGTGCTGTACTAACACGTGATTTTCCTGGAGTTACTTAAAATAATTTTAATACAGCTGTTTCAAATACAGCAATAATTTTCGAAATGTCGTCTCAGCACGTTTACGTTCTCACAGCGTCTCGCGAGGAAAATTCACGGAGCAAATTAAAATACGCCATTGACGTCTTCAAAATCTGCGACACAATATCCCGTTCTTAGTACAAAGATTAGAGACCTTTTCTAGATAGAAGTCTTATTTGAAAACTTTATAAAAGTTTACTTTATAAACATCTCACTGTAATATCGTAACACATAGCTTAGGGAGATTAACGTCAATAATTAACAGATTAATGTAATCGGTATGAAACTCGGAACTGCTATGCTCCGATATATTAATTATGTGTTACATAAAACCCAAACCGACATTACTCACGTCAGAGAATGTGCTCAGAGTCATCGTCATCATTTTCCCGGCAGTGATCGCGGTTGGGTATCGAGATATCGTGATCGGCAGGACGAATTCAACCGCTTTCTTGGGAGGCATTCGGTACCATTCGGTCGCATAGCAAGTAGTACCCACCATCTGACAACGCTCTGTGAGCAGATCACCGATATAGCAGAATATAAATACATTAAAAATAATCGACGCGAGTGCAAAGACGTACATGGAAATTTGTATAAATGATTCATTGTTATTCAAGTCCTGTGAATCAAGAAAAAAATGTATAATTGCAGTACCGATATTCCTCTAAGGAACTTGAACAGCCTCGATACGTATAAATCCCATTTAAATCGCTACAGAATTTTTACGGAGATTATTTAACGTACGGTTATAATGTAGTAGCCAAGAAGACATATGTTACACGAAGCATTTATGAATTCCATGAGACATATCTCGGTGAATAAGCCACTCACATTAGAAACCATTCTAGAAAATCGTGGAAAAATCCGTGAAAATTCAAAGTGTCGCTACGAATTATAAGTTTATGACACCGAATCATTGCAGTTAAATATAACGGTTGCGATAAATTTTTCCAATGTCCTACTTACTTTAACAGACGCAGATGTCGGCTCACTGCAGTAGCAATTCGACCGTCGATAGAAGCGCCATTGTGCTTACCACCGTCGACAGTTTCCTCGAAGAAAGCACCCAATATGTCACATTGGCCGCATATGTGCGTGACGAAATGTGCCATTAAGCTGCAAATACCGCAGAACGCACTGTAGACAGTGAAACCGGACAAAAATTGCAAGCAGTATACGATCTCATATGCAGGGCTGGCCTATACGACAACAGAACGATTCAAATAACAAGTATGTAAAATATAATAGAAACTTATCAATGCAAAGATTTCAATATGTTATTCCATTGCCTCTTAACACACATTTCATTCAACTTAAATATAAAAAATCTTTAAGAATCTATCAATATCATAAGTGAAAATGGAATATTATCTATATATATATTATCTTATATATGACATCAAATGAAATTGAATATTAAGAAATTTTAATAAAAATGCAGTTATATATGTTTAATAATATGATTTTTAAAGGAACAGGAAAGTAATATGATCAGGAAATACCAAGTAACGATATGACTCACCTTGCGAGTTGGATCGGAAGTTTTACCTGGGAATCAAATACGAGGAATTCGCAGGGCGACGGATGCAATCTTATGGTGACGTTGTCCTCAGTGATTATGTTAGGTAAGGCCAACGGTAGCATATAGAACAGTATACCGCAACTGAACATGAAGACCACGGAAACGATACCGAACGTGCGACCTAGTCTAGCATTTGCCAACATGATCTCTCGGTCCTCAGAGAATATCGCGTGTCGCCAGTCGTCGGCGACGCAAACGACGCAGGATTTCAGCTGATGCTGATGCCACAGCAGTAGAACGTACCTCGCGAAAATCGTCACCGTGAAAATTAGCGGGCACATCGTACGAAGTATCAGGATAATACCCCATTTCTCTTTGACGATAAGCACAATCCACGGCACGATGGTGAAAATTTGAAGGGATATGGCGATTGTCATCAAGACCTTGTGCAAAGCGATCTTGGATCTCGAGGTCTCGTCGTCGGATAGCGGCCAAGCACCGATCGGCTTCAGCAGGCAAACGCTTATCTGGATAGCATAATAAAAGTCCGCGACATGCGACTTATTCTGCCCCGTAGCGTCACCGACGAGCGTGTGCGCGTTTTTTCGTCCACAGTCGACCATTTCCATAACGTAATGCCGCCACCGGCTCGATCCTGACTGCCGATCGCGAAATCAGAAATGCGGATTTCCTGGCAAGAAGCATGCGCGGCCCATGCGATGAACTCGCCAGTCTCCGTCGCTACGGTCGCGCATGAAAGTCGCTTTGATGACATTCGCAATTTGCATTTTGTAATATATTCGATTAAAAGTTTATAGGGAAACAGCAGCTGCGATTTGAACATACCGCGAACGGATGAAAGAAGTGGCTGTGTCACGGTATCGGGGGAAACTTCTCTGCTCGGGGAAAATCGTAAAGTTACTTTGATAATATACGTAATTCTGGTGTTTTCCGATGTTTTTCACGAAAAGCTTTGCAATATGTCGATCATGAAGATCTTTTGTACAACTTTATGGTTTGCGTCAACTCTTACTTTTTCTTTACGAATGTCAATTCTATATTATTCTTAACAAATTATATTACTGGATCCAGAGTTTCTTTCGCAGATGATTAATAAAATAGAGAATTTTCTGGAAAATGTAGCTTGTAATATATTAACCTTATTCATTTACATCACCAAATGTTTTGAATGATAAATCCATGAGCCATCTATGACCCAAATCTTTCCAGCGGTGATCTTCGTAGGTAAGTTGAACAAATTTGCAAACCAATTTATTCAACCTCCGGTCGAAATTGCATTTCATGGAAAATATTCTTCTGTTCGTCGACGCATGTACTCCTTTTTCAAAGAATTAAAATTAGAACTACAAGTGATTCCAAATTATTATTTTATAATTTTGTTCCTCCCTATATCAAAACTTGCAATTGCACCCGTAGGACGTTGACAGCAAGCAATAGTGTGTGCTTGTGATCTTGACGATTATACTTAGGAAAGACAGCGCATAAAATTGGTACATTTGCTTCGTAACAGTAACGAATGTTTCGTAATATAATAATATTATTTATATACCTTGTATATTGAGCGGTGATCTGTGACAAGTTTAAGTTAGTATTTGTTGTACGATTACAGCAATATTTTATACTCACTTTTCAAGAATATTTTAGTTTCTTTTTAATTGCTTTTACATTTATTGCTAATTTATAATAACAATAATAAATCTTTGTCAACATATTAAAATATACATATATTGCCTTGTTATGTAGAAATTGAATATATCCATCTTTGGCTTTCTATTTTGTTATTTATTCGGTAACTTGTCGAAGTATGTTCAAATAAACTACAGAAGATTTAATTACCTAAAATGATGGGTCGAGTTTTTGAGTAGTCGTTTATTATTAAATCGTTTAATACTGGAAAATCTTAAAGTCACTTGTCAGTTATTTTTCCTTCTCACAACTTTGTTAAATAAACATAATACCATTGCTTACGTCACCGAATGTCCTGAGGGATAAATCGATGATACTCCCAGCTGTAACTTTTGGTGGGACGCTTGACGCCATTATCACTAATATCATATCTCGCGCTACGTTAGTCGGAAGACGATACCATTCGAGCGTACAAAAACTTAAATACACTTCTTCTGCCTGCCACAAATTATTAAGAGTGTATCATAGCTGGGAAGCAGCATCTTTACATTTACTTAAAAGATCACTGTGAATGTGAATGTTAAAGGAAATATATATGTTTAATGTACAATGAAAATTGCGAGAGTATACACTACTGTGTATGAAGATGGAATTTTTTCTAGCAATGAATAATTTACCACAAAGAGTTTATCATTGTGCCCGAAATCGTATCGCTTATCTTACGAAATGTATCATATGAAAGTATCGAGTAATTGAATTACAAGATTACCTGCGTCCTCACATATTCCCCGATATAACACAAAGTAAAAATGTTAATAAAAACGGACACGAGAACAGTTACGTACGTAATCAGGGCCGTCAGGTTTTTATCTTCCCACTCCTGAGAATGAAATTAAGTTGTAATCGCGAACATTGACATGTTCGCTAAGAATACACTAGGACAGGGTGCATTTATTCGTTTTGCGTACCCCTATCATACAGTAGCCCACAAGACATATGATTGTGGTGCATCCTACTATTTCGACTAAGTTAGCGTAGCGTAAGGTAGTTTCCACTAGATTCAAAAAACTAAAATTCAATTATCACATCCTTGAGTTAGTCGTGAGAAGTAGCGATGAAGAGGGGCGAACGAATAACGTGCAACATTCACGAAAATTATAAATATCTATAAAATATGTGCCTTTGTACATTCTGCAATCCTACTTGTCGTCGCTCATATATAACCGAGATAACAAGACATGATAAAATAGAAGACTTACTTTCGCACCCTTATCTGATGTTCGATTATAGTAATCAGTTTCGGAACGACATCCTTCTGCCTAGATTCGCTCTCGTCGATAAGATCTTTCATTAGTCGCATCAAGATCTCCATCTGAACGCACGCATGTAGCACGAAGAACGCGGCTAAGCCGCAAGTCGTCACCGTAATCGTGTACATGACGAGGCCGCAAAGGCACTGCGAAAGAAACACCAGCTCGTAGCCCGGGCTGCTCTGCGGATCGAAGAAAACGTAATAACCGGGACTGGATAGCGCTCTGATCGTGACGTTCTGATCGGTGACTATCTTCCCCCTCGACAATGGCACTATCGTATTATAGGAGACCCCGCCGCAATACATGAACGCGCAACATATGGTGAACAGCCGTCTAGTGGTACTTGCATTAGCCATCATCATGTCCCTTGCATCCCCGATGAGCATCGTTTTCCAATCCTCCTTGACGTACCTTAAACAACGCCTGATCTCGCGTCCGAAGATTAAAAAATTGCTGTACTTGGTGATCGCCATAATCGAGTACAGAATAGGCGGCATCACTTTCACCTTCACGATCGTATCGTCGTCGGAAAATATGTAATAAAGCACACCCGGCAGCAGGTCGCAATTGAGGAAAAAGTAACAGATGATCACGCGGAAAATACTTGATAACTTTTCAATCGTGGTTGGCCGTCTGTCGGTCAACGGCCAGATGCCGAGCACGCGAAGCACGATGTGAGTCTGTTCGAGGACGTATCTCACGTCCTTCTGATAATATACATTGCGGACTATCATCCTGGTAATTCTGGCGCGGTCGTGAGATTTCTCCACAATTGAAAGCCAAGGCAATATGTCCTTGTTATTCTGATAATATTGAGATACTGGAAGTTAGTATCTACGATAACGGTAGAGAGAAGAAACGAGCAAAAATATTAGACCGAAACGCTCAGTTGTCCTCTCGAGTCGAAAATGAAGGAGGTCCGGATTTGTTCGGCTCGAGTTCGCTACTCGCAAGTTAAATCATGATTGTTGAACGCAAGTTCGTAGGAGACACGATGTCGCATTTCTCGGTCGCAACACGCGCTTGCGCACATTAAACATTGAAAAGCTCCAGGATGCATTTAAGATAATCATTGAAGAAAGTTTCGCAAGTGAGATCTTGCACGCGACAGCGCCAGGTGGTGCAGTACGCCGTACGTGAAAACTTTGACTTCGTAACTCGAAATATCAGTTGCAAAGTGAATTACATTCGAAGAGGGGAAAAACGAACAGTTCGATGACACTATCAAGCAACATTTTGTCGAGATTTATTGGTAAACAGAATTTCTACACGTTGTAAATAGTAAAATTATTATTTTCATCACACAAGAACAGACGCTTGATATTTCGATCCATTGTTAAAAATTCCAAAGTTGCGACTATGATGACTCGCAATTTGTATTTTGTAATATGTTTGGTTTAAAGTTTGCAGGGAAACAACAGCGATTCAAACACAATGAGGTAAAAGGGATGACTGCGAGGACTGTATCAGAGGAAACTTCTGCCCGGGAAAAATCGTCAAGTTACTGATAGTAAATAATTCTGATCTTTTCTAATATTTTCCTCGAAAAGCTCTGCAATATGCCAATCGCGCAGGTCTTTTATATAACTTCGTGATTTGTGTTAACTCTCACTTTTTCTCTGTAAATGTCACATTATTCTATATTATTTCTCATAAATTATATTATTTAATTAGTTTCTCCCTTTCATAGATACTTAATAACATTGATATACAATCTCCTCGATATGTGACTTATAATACATTAATATTAATCATTTCTTGTTAAGAGTTCTACAAAACGTATTTACATGACTCCTCACAAGGAAACTTCGCGAAGCAAGTTGAAGTACGCCATTGAAGTTCTTAAAATCTAAAGAATATTACATCGTTATTACTTGCGATTTTCGAAATTCATAATGTTAATTTAATTCGAAATTATCTGTTTCATTAGATTCACTTACATTAGAGAAACTGCTCATGGTCATCGTCAGCATCTTGCCGGCGGTAAGCTCAATCGGATAATTTGACATAAGAATCGAAAAAAGCAAGCTGCGCGCCTTATTATGCGGCAATCGATACCACTCGATCGCGTAACATTTAGTGCCTACCTTCTGGCATTGTTCCACGAGCATTTCGCCGATATGGCAAAAGATATATATATTAAAAGTAATGGATATGAAGGCGAGGAAGTACGTGGAAATCTGTAACATCGATTCTTGATTTTTCCAGTCCTGCATATACAACAGTATTAGAAATGCAGTTTATAAAAATTACAATAACCAGCATTTGTATCTTCATTATCTTTCGGAGGCGCTGATCAACGAACGTACCATAATTACATAATATCCGAGTAAGCATATATTACTCGAAGCATTTAAGAATTCTGCTAAACATATTTCGTTCATTACTTTGTCGACGTCGGCAACGAATCTGGAATATTACGCAACTCACAACATTGCAAATCGAGGAGGACCGAGACTTGAAGATAAAGAAATGATAACAGCGGTGGTGGTGGATAAATGATGATAATATGCTCACCTGAGAATTCGTAGATGATATATTACCGCGGTGGCGATCCTCTGATCGATGGTACCTTGATTTCGATCACCGCCGTCGACCAACTCGTCGAAGAAATACGTCAGTATCTCACACTGGCCGCACACGTGAGTAACAAATTTGGCAGTTAAACTGCAAGTGCCGCAGAACACAGTGAACAAAGTGAAACATGACAGAGATTCCATTACGTATACCGTTTCGTAAACTGGGCTGGCCTGCACGTCAAGCAATATATCATCAAATATGTCAATATATCATATATAACATAATTGTGCAATGATACATGATAATGTTTCCCGCTCACAAATTATTTAGGCCAAACATTGACTCTTAAAAGATTCCTTTAATATATTCCGTGAAGAAGAGAAACTGAAACACGAGCATTTTCTTGTTTTTTTAAAACAGAACCATGGGCATCTCAATTGTAAAATCGAAGGCATGACACGAACGCAATTTTCAGGTTTCAATTTAACGAATGAAAAATCCAACATCGTACATTGAATTGACCTGGGCGTCCAGTATGAGCAGTTCGCAGGGGTTGGGAAACGGTCGGATCGTCACGTTGTCCACGGAAACGATCGGCGGCGCCACGAGGGGCACGATGCAGTAAAGTAGACCGCTGCCGAACATGAAGGACACCGAGATCATTCCAAACCAACGTCCCGATTTAGCGTACGCCAACATGATCTCGCGATCTTCGGCTAGCGTGACGTTACGCCAGTCTTCGGCAACGCGTTCGATGCAGAATTTGATCTCGTCTTGGTGGAACAGCAACAGCAGGTATCTCAGGAAAACCGTGACAGAGAAGATCAGCGGACATGCGGTCCTGAGGATCTCGTAAAAGTCGCATTGCGCGGTACATATGTAAACGATCCACGGGATGATCATGAAGAGCTGGAGAAACGTGGCGAGGAAGATCGACGAGGCGCGCACGACCGTTCCCAACGCGGTGTCCTCTTGCCTCAACGGCCAGACGCCGATCGGCTTCAACAAACACAAGCTAACTTGAGCGGCGTAATGAAAATCCAGAAGCTGTGGGTCGCCGTGCGTCGGTTTTGACTTGCCCATCATTGCGGCCGCTGTGTCGCGTAGTCCGCGACCTTAATGACAACTAGATGATTGGTAGTCAGCTTGATGGTCACGGGCTTGTTGCTAAGCATGCGCAAGATGCACTTGTGGCGGTCTTCCGACCGTGATGATTAGAGCGCACCTCGACTATTCGTGACGTGCACTTTGTAGAAAGTCTCGGCGAGGAGTATGGAAAGAAAAAGTGTAGTCATAAGCGGGGGGATACTAATGACGCTTCGAGAAACTTGAAAATGCGAAGGGCACGCGCCTCACTGCGCGGCTGCAAAGTTAGTCGTCGGCTAACTCGGAGTTACAGTTCGCAGTTGTTCGCTGTGATCGCGCTTCTTTTCGCGAAAGGGGAGATCCGCGACCGAGAGTTCGTGTCGTGGTACTGAATGTTATCTTGACGAACAGCTGGCGACGCGCCAGACCGCTCGTCGTCTGACTCACAAACGTTGCCTCGGTTCTGTGATAAAGTGACCTACGCGCAAACGTAAGATGATGAGTGTTGTATTTGATTGAGTGAAGGTACGAAATTAGTATGTTATGAGATAGTCGATATTTTGGCTGATGTTTGTGTACAGTGGCGTCTTATGACGCGACCATTCGAATGAAGTTGAAGTACGCCGCTGATGTTTTGCATACCTGTGAACATTCGTAAAGTGCTCAGACGGACAGCCGAAAACTTGAACTCGCAGGTTAACTCAGAGCGACGTAGAGTTCTACTCACGTCGCAGAAACTTTGAAGAGAGATGTCGAACATCTTGGCAGCTGTCAAGGTTGACGGACGGTTCGACCTGACCATCACCATAATTAGATTGCTCGCGTTTTTGGCCGGCATTGTGTACCAGTCGATGAAATACGACGTCTCCCCGACCTTCTCGCTCTTTTCGATCGCAAAAGATATTAGATATAAGTCCGTTTGACCAGCACCGTAATGATTATTCGTTAAAATAATAACGATCCGCATAGCGCTTACCTCTTCTTTAAGACGATCGCCGATAACCGATAAGGTGAAGACGTTCACCAAAATGGAGATCATTAGGATGAAGTATATGACCATGCCGAATAATTTATTGTCCTCCCATTCCTGGAGTAAGCTCGCATGAAAAGAAGGTACGCGATCTGACTTTTATACAATAAATCGGTAATGAGGGAATCTCAAATTACCTTCAAGACTCCGTACTCAAGGAAACATATTATAATGGTGCATCCGACCATTTCCGACAGAAAGACGATATTTAATGAATTTTCGATCATTTCGACAAATCTGTATTAAATGTCATTACCGCGTTAAAAATCAATGTAGTTTTTGTTAATAAAATCAAGACACGAGTTGCAAGCAATTGTACTGCAACACACACACATAAATCGCATAAAAAAAGTTATACGCAGAAAAAAGTGTTAGATTTAAATAAACAATTACTTCAATATTCCTTAGCAAAAGTTTTTCACTGAATCAAATAATATTTACTCGATCCATATAAAATATTTTTCAAATAAATTACTCAAATAAAATATTTACTTGATCTAAATAAAATTGATTTAATCGAAGCAAAAATTTGCTAAAAATTTTGGAATAATTACTTATATTTGAATCTGGCACTTTTCTGTTTATTTCCTTTACGTAAAGCCCCGTTTTATCTACGTTATCTTCCATCGTCTCGATAATATTAATTTAATGTTGATTATTTTTCATCACAAAGCTAACACATTTTTTCGCCACAACACTAAACATGTGCCGAAATTACGAATTAATTGCAAATGACGAGAGTTGAAAAAATTCTTCCCGACCTGAGGGCTCGCATGTGTTGCGTGATTACTCGACTGAACCCTTCGTGCAAGTTATCGGTGCCACTTATGACTATCGTTTCCAGTTGCCTGCGCGCGACCTCGAATAAACAGCAGGCGTGCATCACGCAGGTGGCGATTAAACTGTAAACGCCGCAGTTCGTGGAGAGGATGATGGTACTGAAGAGAATCTGCGTCACAAAGAGGATCTCGTAAAACGGCGAGTTCTCCACCACGAAGAAGATATAGTCGCTGAGGTATGGCAATGGCAAATGCGTCGTGTTGTCCTCCTTGACGATCTTGTCCGCTACCAACGGCATAATTATGTGGTAAGGCAACGCTCCGCCATATAACAATCCCATATACATCATTGTGAACTGCCTGCCAACCTTGGCGTTTCTGACCATCACCATTCGGTCTTCCTCGCACTCCACGTCTCTGTATTGTATCTCCATCTGCTGCAGGCAGTGCCTGATCGCGTCTCTGTTGATAATCATCGTCCAGAACTTGATGATGCCGAGCAAACTGAACACCTGGGCGGCTATCACCTTCATGTATCTGGTCAGATCCTCCGCGTCGAAGAAGGTGTAGATGATGTGCGGCACAAGCAGAAAGCACATCAAGCTGAATATGAAGCTCGTCTGAAGAGCGGTCTTGATTTTACTGAGCGTGGAGTCATCCCGGTAGAGGGGCCAAATGCCAACAGGTGTTAACAAGAATTTGGCGACTTTCACCACGTACTCCGTGTCGGACCTGTAATTGATGTTCCGAAATAACGCGCGGCGACTGACCGATGACATTCCCGCGTTTTTCATTTCCTTTTCTTAATTGCTGGATCGTGCACACCGTGCTTTCGATTCCGACTGAAGGGCTCGCACGCGATCTCCGAGAGTTAACCGTGGGCGCCTGCGTGCGGAAGGTTTGCTTTCCGCGCAACTTTGTACGAGAGTTATCTTCTAGAATCGCCGCCACCATTTTTTCTACGGGAAGGAAAATATATGTAATTTCAGCGCACACGCAGGCGCTGTAGAATAAACGACGGACGGAGAGACGAAAGCTTTGTTGCATTGTCGGCAGCGATCAAGAATCGGTGCCGACAGTGCTCGGAGTATGAAGATACGATAACGTAAATCTGATTCAAAAATATATCTGACGTTTTGTATAAATAAATTATAAATATGTTATGTTATTTGTAAGTTATTTTTATTATTGTTAGAATTTGCCTGAAGAATAAATCTTAACTGGGTTTGAAATTAACGTGTTATATAGATTGTGGAATATTATGTAATAAAGTAATTCTCTGTTTTTATGTTATTTTTAATTTTTTTTTAATAAAAATGTTCAAATCTATAGATTATTACACACAAGTGATCATCAAACGGCGAATAGAAGATATCTGTGCAACTTACATATTCCGTGTAAATCACACATAGATGCAATGCGAGTCATGCGAAGTGTATGCGGAGCATACGAGATGCAAATGGGATCTGCGGACAGCTGTTATTTTTGTTCCCAGCTGTGTCTATGTAAATTTGATGACAAAACTTTACTTTTTTACGATTCAGCAATTTCACCAGCAGCGTCATCATGGATAAGTCATTTTACTTGGAACATACTCCATGTGAACAAATTTTACTGCAATCACGATGATTACGAGATGTGTGGTATTTCAGATTATTCGCGATTTTATAAAATCTTTAGATGACGTTCGAGGAAAAATACATGTTTCGAAGAGGGGAAACGATAATGACGTTTCGGTAAAGTTTGACGCGGAGGATACGCATCACGCGATTTTCGAGTTAAACGAAACTCAGAGGTATAGTTTCAATAAATTTCTCGCGGAGGGAATCTCTCGTGGATGAAGATTTGCGTGACGTATATGACTGATAGCAGTACAATTTATTATTCAACAGACTGGAGAGCGTGATAGTTCTCCTGAAATAAAATTGAAAAAAATGGTAAGTGAGATATGTTATATACGATGAAGGGATTGTGACAACATGGCATATTTTATGTATCTTATAATACATATATATATATATATATATATATATATATATGGTAGTCGATAAATCTTGTACGATGATATTCGTGAATTATACAGTCAGCGCTCGTATAAAATTGAAGTACGCCGCTGACGTTTTGCAGACCTGTAAACTTTTGTAATTAAGAGTTGGTTAATTGATTTTCAAATAAACGTGACAAAGCGGAGAGTTCACCTCGCAGAATCCTTGAAGAGAGAGGTCAAATATTTTTGCAGCGGTCAACGTTGACGGGCGGCTTGATCTTGTCATCATCAAGATTAAATCGCTTACGATTTTTGTTGGCAAGGCATACCACTCGATGTAATATGACGATTCTCCTACCTTCTCGCTCTATGCCAGAAATATAAATACCGGTCGACTAATCGCGATTAATACGTTTCTTTTAATTTTTATATTACCGACAGATACGCGATGTGTGAAACGATGAATATCATAAAATGTCATAAGTTATAAATTCTCTAGTGTAAAAATATTTTGCTGAATCTTTACCTCTTTTTTAAGACGATCACCGATGAATGTTATAATATAGACGTTCACGAACATCGATGTCATTAGAACGAAATACGTGCTCATACCTAAGATTTCTCCGTCTTCCCATTCCTAAAATGCACTTGAAGCAATGAACGAAATTGGTAGATAGATTTTATCACACGGGTATAATATTTAACGAAATATACCTTGATTACTCCAAATTCCAAGAAACATATAATAACAGTGCACCCAACCATTTCGCATAAAAAAACGACGTTCAATGATTTTTCAATCATCTCAGCGAATCTATGATGTATTTTATCACGCATAAGTAAAATTAACATAATTAAGACATGAAAACGAATGTTTTCCTTACGTTCTAATTGCTTCTACTATATTTATCACATTTTATACGATCTAATAAAATAATTATGAATAATTCAAGAAGAAAAATAGAAGGTAAGAGCTAAACGCTAGAAGGGATGTTTCGGTCCTTATTTTTTGGATTCTCTTCAAGTTAACAATAGTAAATAAAAAAAAATAAAATTAAACGTGATCTCGTTCTACATCGGCGTCTGGCTCTTACTTGCTTTTTACTTCCCTTTCTGATTGTATATGTTAAGAATATTTATATTTTATAATGGTAAGAAAATTCATACAAGATGCTTAAAAATGTTTCTCACCTGATGGCTCGCATATGATTTTCAATTACTCGGCCGAGTCGTTCGTGCAAGTGATTGGTCCCATCGTTGAGGACCATCCCTATTTGCCTGCGAACAACCTCGAACAAGCAGCAACTGTGCATCACGCAATTGGCGATCAAACTGTAAACGCCGCAATTCGTGGAGAGGATGATGCTGCTGATCAGGATTTGCGAGACGAAGAGGATTTCGTAGAATGGCGAGTTCTCCACCACGAAGAAGATGTAATCACTCAGATACGGTAGAGGTATCTGCGTCGTGTTGTCTTCCTTCACAATTCTGTCCGCCAACAACGGCATGATGATGTGATAAGGCAGTGCGCCGCCGTATGATAATCCCACAAAAATCACCGTGAAGAGCCTGCCGATTTTGGCGTTCTTCATCATCACCAGTCGATCCTCCTCGCATTCCACATCTCTGTACTGTATCTCCATCTGTTGCAAGCAATACCTGATGCCCTCTCTATTGATAATTATCGTCCAGAACTTGATGATGGCGAGCAGACTAAACACCTGAGCGGCAATAACTTTCATGTATTTGGTCAAGTCCTCCGCATCGAAGAAGGTGTATATCACGTGCGGAACGAGCAGAAAGCACATCAAACTGAATATTACGCTAGTCTGCAGGAAAGTCTTGATTCTATCGGAAGTGGAGTTACCGCGGTAAAGCGGCCAAATACCGACGGGTGTTAACAAGGTCTTGGCTACCTTTACCACGTACTCGATGTCGGACCTGTAGTTGAGGTTTCGAAAGAGTGTGCGATCGTTGCTCGTCGACATTGTCCAGAATAATATTGTCGTAACTTATAATTTTTCGATAACGTTACACGTATGTTCTTGATGAGTGACGGACACGGGCGTCCTATCCTTCGACAGTCAACCAAGTGCAAAGTTTTGCCTTCCCGCGTCTGCGTACAAAGTTGCGTACAAAGTTTGCCTGACTTTTTCCACTGCGATTTTCCATGGACGATCTTCTATAATCAACGGAACTTTTAATAGCAAAGAAAATACATGCGATTTCAACAAGAAACGCATGCGCCGTGGGGACGTTTTTGATTTCTTCCACTTCGCTCTACCATGTCGGCTGAAGATATAGAGAGAGATCTTTCCGTCTGTAAGAAGTTAGCCTCCCACTTTTTGAATTTATTCATTTCGACAATTGTGTTGATTTGGGTTAAGTGTATGCTGCATTGTGCTCGAATGATAAACTTGTGATACGAAAAATGCGCGAGAAAAACAAGTGATTTCTCACAGGCGATCCTTCCGAAGGACGACGCTCGGAACATAAGCAGATCCGCGCGAATCAGAAATTGCGTCGTTGAATTTCGTAACGCAATGTCGCTCTTCAAGCTCTAGAAGATAATATACGACGTCATAGATACGGAATAGTAATGTAAAAAGACAGATCTGAAAAATGTCCGCGCTTCCGTGCAAATGTGGCATAACGTGCGAGCAGTGATTCAAGTGAGCACTCGACAAATCTATCGATAAGATGATAGATTCTCACATTCTTTCGCATTACAAAGAAGCTTGATCCGCGACGATTAGTGCAGATTGTTAAATTCCAGAAGCGATCGCGGTGTAAAGCCATTAACGTCATGTCCGTCATCATGCGGAACGATCGTGATAGTGAGTGTTCCTCATTACGACGTGAGCGAACGTTGAAATACCTGTGTGCACTTTTAGCAGGTACGGCATGGCAGATGCCAGAAGGGCACGATGACGATGTTCGCCACGGAATACGTTAGTTGGTATGATAGTTGGTACCTCTTCATCGACCACGCAAATAGCAAATAATGAGCCAGAAGATGTGCGACATTAAGTAATGTCACTATTACTACATCGCTGTGTATGTCAAACTGAAGTATATCGTATAGAGAGATGTAAATATATTCGTAGTCGTCACATGATGGTGTAAATAGCACAAATATATTCCGTGATTTTGTCTGACAGAAATAAACATAATATAAGAGAAAGTGTATTAAATGAAAAAATTAATGAATCTTCTTCACTTGAATATATTAAAACTTGACGCTTACGACTTAAAACTATGATGACAAAGAAAAATTCGAGATAATTTCTTGTTATCTATTGGTATTTTTATTATTTAAAATTAATTTCAACAGATAACCATTTCTTAATTAAATGTTAGGAATAGGTATAATTATTTATTATTGATTATACATATATTTTCTTTAAGTTATCATCTATCGGCTATGCTTCCTTTAAAAGTAATTTCAAATCATGGTAGATGGCGGGTGTAACTCGACGAGATATATTGACGGTATCATCAATGTCTCTCTGTCCCAATTCAGATATTTTCAAATAGAATGCATCATATCTAAATATTCGTATACCATGACTAATTTAACAAGAAACGAAATTATTCTTGTCTTAATTAATTTATCATTTGTAATCCTTCAACTTCACGGCTTACTTTTCACACATACATATTCATGAAACACGACTGTCAAATGCAACTGAGTTTTAACGTGAGTATATTTAAGCATTTTTGTATGATAAGAAATGTTTAAAACAATAATAAAAGATATCAACAAAGATAACTATAATAACGTAATTTTCTGCTTTCATCTTAAATTACAGAATTATTCGTTTTCTTTTAATAATTACAAGTTTCCTTTTAATAACCACAAAATAATCATTGAAATTGTCATTGAAATTATTCATTTATATAATCTATTAAGATCATGTGATATGGTACGAAGGTTCTCGTAATCACATCAAAAACAGCTAATAAATACCAACAAAAGTTATACATATTTGCTCAATGGATAATAGTAACTGAATCGACTGCAAACAAAGAGAACTTATACCACGTAAGTTACATGATTTTTCTGCCATTATACATATATTCATATAAATAAGATTTAATACCTTTTTAACATGTTTAGTTTGTTTTCTTTTCAGAGACCATCGTATCCATCATATTTTAAAGCACCTCTTATTTCCCTTGGCGATCCAAAAATAGACCATCTTCGTGGGTGAGGTCTAATATACTTGGTTAAAGGGCAATCTGGAGACTTCTAGAATATCAGAAAACTCTATGTTGTGTACTGAGTCCTGAATTATTTTTATCCGCTTACTCTCAGAGGCACAGGTTCGCTTCTCCTCGAGGTATATATACAGCTTCATTCTTCGCAATAACTTTTTTTCCAGGGGTGAACGCAAAATAATATAACGCAAAGTGAAAAATGAAGAATTGCGTAATTTTATTACAATTTTCATGTAAGTATACACGTGTTAAAACGTAATAAAAAGTTCCTATCGAAACCCTCCTCTTGCTGTAAATATAGAAACGTCAATGATATTTGCATAAATATATCTGGAATAAGAAAACGAATGTAAGAAAAATGTAAATTATATTATACAATGCATACTGATGAGAGAGGCGACACACGTGATGATTAAATATTTCTCTCTCAGTGGGAGGCTTCAAGTTCAAATGGAATATAATCTCTATGTAAAGCGACATGTACGGCACATTCTACACGCGTGTGATTTTAACAACATAATATTTCGCAATCTAACATTTCGGCACGCAATTCGCATGATAATCATCCTAACCTCTACTAATCTCTTACGATTAATTATACAGCTTGCATAATTTCACGGCAATTTACTCGGTGGCGTCGAACACACCGGCCGGGCGAACATCGTGCTACGAGGTTCATCAACCTTCACCCAGCGACACACTCTGGCTAACTGGGAGTTGGTCACAGATACGATCGATAGTAGGGCGTTTCACGGAGGATTCGAGAACGCGCCCGGCCATATTCACACCTGCGTGCACCTCCGTTTTGCGGCCCCGCCGCACGGAGATACTTGCAGCATTGTCATGCCGCAAGTGTCGTAGCAAGATCGTTGCAAACCGGCTTCTGTCCTCGACCGGTCGATCCCGCGGCCGGAATTTGAGATTTGCGAAACGGGCTGCGGCCCGTATAACCCCGGCCGACTGCAACATCGTCCCGACCAACGTGACTGTCGAGAGTTCAAGGTCGCGCGGTGAAGCCGGCGAAGCAACTAAAATTAGTGCGGGCAGGTTATATCGTGTGCTCGGAGGAGCACGAAGCCGCGGTCGAGAGTTCGTTATTTATGTAGCGAGTTGATGAGGGTAGCCGCGATGGCTCGGCCCAGGAGAGAGAGAGCCTCGTGCCTGTTTAGCGATCGTCGAGGGAGAGGATGTTGCGACGCAGTACTTTCTTCTTCTTCTTCTTCTTTTTCTTCTTTCTCGCCAAATTAACGTCACGAGAGGACTTGATTGGGGAAGGGTAGCAATTTTCGTTTCCCGTTACGTAATAGTTGTTTGTCACGTTACACGTGGATATTCTCCCGGCTCCGATGATGTATAAATAACTTGCCAAGCTTAATATCGGGACCGAGTATACCGAGAAGAAACGTTACGATTATATACGTCTATATTTTGTTCCGCCGCCATTGTCGAGCATGTCGTGCATTAAAGGAAAAACTTGCGTTCATATTTTTATTATGGCGTAAAAGCGAGAGAGGGAGGGAGAGAGAGAGAGAGAGAGTTATTTGCGGGAAGATATTAATTAACATCGACGTGCACGGATTTGCGACGTTGTGTACATTTTTTTATAACTTTCATAGAGAGATGTTTATTAATCCGTTGATGATCCTCATTTATCGCTAGACACGACCGCGAAGAGGGATAATGGATGCGCGATGAATGCGTTTATTTTGTTGCGCGGCAACACCAACACTCGCGCCCTTCCCATGCGTTACATCTATAACTCGCTTCTCGCGCATCTATCGATTAGCTGCTGCAGCTGCTACCTCGAATGTTCTCGAACACGATGAAAGCACTCAAACTGTGATGCCGGCGTTTATAACGATTTGCTGAGTTTCCTCGTTACAGTTGTTGCAACCGTCTCGCGAATTGTCATTCCGTTGAAAAGGATATGCATGTAATTATTGCGAACGGTATATGTATAGATACAAGATTGAATTAATTCTTTCAGCAAGACTGGTGATATGAGACCAAAAATAATATCTCGAAGCATATACGAGATACATGTTTCATAAGTATACGCTTGTTAATCTCGCTAAAGACGATATCCTTGAATCTCACGTGGCTTTATCGCCGCTCGCATAACCGCATAATCAGGATACGAAACCGCGTAAAGATAAATCGCGTGTGCGTATCGCGTAACCTCAATTTTATCCACAAGCGATACGTTTCATAAAGAGCGAATTTAAAGCATAATAAAATTCTCACAAAGTCCACACTGGAAACGTTATTTGCTCATCAATCGTGAATACACCTGTTCCGATGGAGATTAAAATAAGACACGTCGACGGAGAGAAAGAGAGAGAGAGAGAGATTTATCAATCATAAAATGATGCGTCCTTGCAGCTCGGTTTAATGATCTGAAATCTTCGTTTCCACGAAGTCGGCTCGCCGAGGTAGCTGAAAAGAGAGACGTTGAGAAAGTTCCCACAGATCATCATGCTGTTCCCGTTTAATGCAACAAAGTTGGTAACCGTCTCTACCTTCGCATTTCATTACGCCGTTCTGAATGACACCTGAATGTAACGAGGTATCGCACGGCACATTGTGTTATATATTTCTATGAAGTATACAAGTAGTTCCTTCACCCTTCCCGTCGAGCTTAATCCGCCGTTCCGTTGTTAGAGGCCTACAAAAAGACGATCTCTCTCGCAGGGAGAGAGATAAGTATCCGACGCGCGCGCGCGGCCCCCTTATGCCTCCTGAATAAAATTGCATTAATTGCGTCTGCTTAAGCAGAGCGCCCTTTGTGGCTGAGATACGGCCGGGTCTAGCTAACGAGCGATATGAAAAGGAAATCGATAGAGCGGTATATGATACACCAAAGAGGAACGAACGTAATGTTATGCAATCTGCTTGTGTATCGCCGTTATTATGCATCGTATATTTCGTTTGTTACAGCCTGATGGTTGTACATCGAGGCCGTTACGGTCTTTGATATGCCAACGTAATTTTTCTCTCCTCCTCTCTCTCTCTCTCTCTTTCTTTCTCTTCATACAGCGGAGGTACGCATATCTCCCTAATGGAAGCTTCGCGGTCAAAGTGTGGGTGGGCGTGTGATACTGGCGTAATATTTGTATCTTCAATTGTTGATTACGATATCAGCGTTAGCATGGAAATTGCAGATTCTCACGCTATCGCCGGCTCCCGTCTCATTCCGCGCATTAACTCCGCTTTCGTGTGTTTGCAAACATATTGCATCACCGCTGCCCAGCCTCGACCGCGCCTGAAAATCTCTTAAAAATAGCTGTCATTCGTCTCAAGAGTTGATAAAAAACCTCCGCCAGCCGGGTAGAAGGTCACTCGGGCCTGGCTGCGCAGTACGGAAATCCCGCCGCAAACTCCCCGTCCGAAGAAACTGCGTTTCAACGTTTCGACGTCGCACGCGCGCTCGCACACACGCACACACACACACACGCGCGATTTCGCAATGTTGGATCACAAAGTACCCTCCATAAGCGATATCGTCTCTACAGAATGTTATTCTTCGCGTACGACTTCTAATCTACTCACTAACTATTCCGGCCTCGTTCCCGGCGATATAGCAAAAAAAAAAAAACCTCGATTACCTCACGTCCAGAACTACAAGCGCGAATTCCGTCACGTACGCGGTGTCTCCCGGTCGAGGAGATCGATCAAATTCCTCGGATGCGCGAGCAAATTCATATTTCTCTACTGAAACAGTTCGGGAGAGAAACAATCAACGAAAGTCATTTCAGAGGTCACACCTACACAAGACAGACTACCACGCGTGAATGCGAGGATTAGCATGGCTCGAAGACAATCGCTTTCCGATCCGGTTCCTGCTGTTTCCTCCTTCGAGCTGCAAAACAAACCCACACACAGCCGTACGAGACCGTCCAACAAGAAGGTTACGCTACGTTACACAGGTAGTATTATATCACACACCGGTTAACCGTGCTAACGCCAGGAGGAGACGGCGGGGGAGGGTGGCGGCGGCGGTAACGACGGCGTCAGCGGTGGAGGCGGAGGTGACGGCGGAAGCGGCGGCGGAGAACGGGGTACGGTTTGCCGTTGTAGGTCGACGGCGGCATGGTGGGGTCCGGCCAGGCGAACGTGCCAGAAATCTCGTCGCCCGGTGGCTGGGCCGATCAATACTCGGCATTTTCTGATTTCTCAGTCATGGCGTGCAAAAAACGGCCGTACGGCACCGCCGTACGATGGATCTCGCCATGATGATTTCGAATATCGCGTCGGCCGAGCGAATCGGGCCCGGTCAGGGCCCGAAACAGCCGGTCCCAGGTAAATGCGCATTAATGTCGCCGCGCCACGAGCTCTGGAAGCTTCGGCGCTGCGACGGTGGGCGACCTCTATATAAGGCGGCCGGCCGGCCAGCCTCGGCGCATTCGTAAACAAACCCTCGTTCAGTTCGGACGCAGCGAACACCCGAAGACCCCCTCACCCCACATCAGTGTAATACTCAGACTTCTTGTTTCGTGGTCGTCGAGACTGCCGGCACGGGAAAATGTAGGCGAGCGGCATCGGTGCGGAGCGCGACAGTTTACCGTAGGTATCCCTTGATTGGGTCTTCTTTTTTCACTTATTCATTATATTTCACTTTTGGAGAATTGACGCGGCTGTTTGCTCCTCTTCTAAGTTATCGGCAACTGATGTCGATGTCGCTGCTATATTTCGTGGCTGAAGTTGACGCTTGACCTCCACTGTTACTCATCGTGAGTAGAGTGCGGAAGCTGATGAGGTTTCTTCCCACCCTGGTCATGAGGATTTCGAGGAGGAGGTTGAAAACGATTTGTTTGTTTCAAGTATTGATACAAGACCAGTTGCGTAGTGGTAGACTTGAAGGGAGGGGCGCACAGCCGCCATTTTGACGCTTTAACTGTTGACCTTTTAGTACTCTTACTTTTCCAATGATTATTCCTTCATTTTTCCTTATAGACATGTAAAGGGTAGTTTTTTCTTCTTTTTACAACAAACTGTGATCTTTCGCGCTGAGGAATTTTGCGCGATTGTAAGATGTGTGATTATACGACTAATATGTATGAAGTGTGACGGTAAAATATATTTATATAATCTTGAATACAATATCAAACGATAAAATATAATTGCGTAACGTACGAATAAATTATATTTTTACGATGCATATTGGAAAAAATGTTGCTTCTGTGTAAATATCGCAAAATTACATAATTTTATAAAATTGTCTCGACGGTAGAAACAATAATTCTATAAAATATCGACGATAGAAACAGAAAAGTGAAAGAGCGTCGGAATGAGAGTCTTTAATGATATGTTCGTTACTCGGTGGTGGTAGTGGTAGTGGTCGTAGTAGTTGCCTCGACGGGAACCGGCTTAGCAGCTGGCACTCCTGTTTGAACAACACTGATGACTCTTTCCGTGCCAGCCGGCGTCACGTTCTGAAAACGAACGAAACATCATTAGAGATTATCTGATAAAACGAATCATTAGAGTGTTATATGTTTGTGTTTTTTAGTGCACCCTACGGGGTCGGTGCTTGAACAATCCGTACGCGACGATAACAGGCGTGATTAGAATTTGAAATTCCTTCACACTTTGAACACACAAATATGAGAAGAGAACCTCGAGAGATATAGGTAAGCGTAATAAGCTGTCTAGACAAGATAGTATGTTAAGTTAAAAGGGTTACACTTGCGCGAATTGAACTAGAGAAAGGTTAAAAATACGACGGTCGAGTCGGTACACGAGACACGGCATGAATGGCGGACACGGTTCTAGTGCCGTGAATGAAGAGTTTTTTTTCTAGATAATGTAAAACTAACTTTTTTGCCCGTCAAGGACAACGTTAAAAGAAGAAGCGAATTGATTTGCGATAAAAATATAGGTGTAATTAGAGCTAATTCTATGTTCGGATGTCCTATGTTCGAACTTGCGATCAAATTTACTTCGATGATATTGAGCAGACAACATAATATCTAAAGTTAGGGCATAAGGCTTCTTAAAGACGTTTGTAAGTAAGGCATCTTAAAGACGTCTTACGTCCCGATTTTAGACGTTACGTTATCTAGGCGTTCAACGAAAGTTCATCTGAACGAAAACAATAGAAATAAGGAAAGATCACATAAGAATGTAATTTCTGATGAGGAACACTCGATTGTCAGCAAAGTGTCGTCGATTTTAATAGAGTCTGATCTATGAAACTCACTGGGAATGCGATTCTAAATTTGAGTACCGCGACGATAACACACGTTCGCTTTAACACATGTGTCCCCTCGTCGTTTTTTCGCGATTACGCAATTGGTATCGCCGAGTTTCAGGAGCCTCATTTAAAATCGACACACACTGATCGCAATGCAAATCGCGAATGTGCCTCGTCCGCAGCGAACGCTGCGTTGTTTCGCCGCTTGAATTTCGAACGTTAACGATACATATTCTGTTTTGTAGTTTAGTGCAGATTCGTAGTTTGATCTGAAACCGTCGGCAACGTCTGCCCTCTTCTAATACCGCACACTGAGGCTCTCACGGCATTGGGAACGTTGGAATTGAAAGGCAAAAAAATCAAACATGTAACGTAAGCCGTACCAGCTAACAAAGACGAGAGAGGGAGAGTGAGTGAGAGTGGAAGAGAGAGTGAGTGAGTGAGGAAGAGAGAGAGAGAGAGTGGGGAGGCAGAGAAAGAGATAGAGGCTCTCGTTCGTTCGCGGTCGCCGCGAATGAGAGAGCAGGACGGATGTTAATGTGGGTCTCGGCTCGGTCGAGCGTACCTTTTTGGGTGCCGTGATAGTTAGTACACCATCCGAGGAGAGGGTCGAGGTGACGTTGACGAGGTCGTGAGATGGGGGCAGGACGTATCTGCGTACGAAGTGTCTGCTGACGTAGCCGTGCTCGTCCTGCTTCTCCTCGTGCTTGGCCTCGACTATAACGTGGTTGTCGACCGTCTTCACCGTGATCTCGTCCGGTGAGAATTGTTGCACGTCCAGTATCACCTGCGGATCAGAGCGCGGCCCCGCGAAGGCCACGGCAAATACACGCATTAGCTCGTTCAGGATCCTCTTTCCAAGAGCGCCGTCGAGGACAGAGAAATTTTGCGTTTTCCTCCTTTTCAAGAGATTAATACAGCGAAGCGCATGCACACAGAGACACCTACCATCGTCCGGCCATGCGCCCGTAGAGCAAAAGTTAAGTATCGATCGCATCGAAGCGAGCTTGCTTTCCGAGAATGACCGTCGAAATTGAGCAATAACGTTCTTTCTTTTGCTTCCTCCGGCATCGCGCGTTTCTTTCCCTCGGTTTTCTCCCCCCCCCCCCCTGTTNCGGCCAAGCCAAATTCTCTCCTCTGGAGAAGGGGATCTCGAATGCGGTCTGTAACGCGTATACCGTACTGAAACGCAGAGAACTACTTTACGCACAATCATTCCAACTGACCACCTGGAGCGCCCCTCGTGCGCCCGGTTCACACTCGTTCTTTCACGTTTCCGCGTTAGGGAGCTGTCGGGACCGGTTTCCGATCAGACCACGGTTGTTGGAGTTTCCGCGGCGATGAGAGAAATGACAATTCAGCCAACATTGTAGATCCGTCAACCGTCGTCGGGTGGCGTGTCGGAAAAGACGTTCCCCTTTCCGTTACGATCTTTCGTCCCTTTTCTTTCTTTCATGTAATCTCCCGTCCGCGTACTTTAGATTGTCACGTTATGGTACAAAAGCAAACCGGGAAGATGTAGTTGTCAGGCGCACCTACTTGTGTGAAACTGTTCCTTTTTTTTTGACGACCAAAAAAAACGAGCACACATACAAGTAGGTGATCTTTTTTTGCAACGCGAGTGCGCGTGCGGTCGTGGCGGGTCGCGATCGGTCGCAATTTGCGCCTGGCCGATCGCGCTTTTTCGCGACCGGCGGTTCACTTTAGTGACCACCACGAGGAACACACGAGCGGAAAATCTTACAGGAAAAAAAACCAAAAAAAAAACATAAAAGATGATTTAAACTTTCGTGTAGAGCGGGGGGAAGCTCCAACGACCGGTGGTAGGATAAGGCGAGCCGAGTCTCTCCGCGTGATTTTGGAACTCGGTGAGCGCGAGCGCGAAGCAAATTAGCGGGGGATGATTGGCTGTGCATTTCGAAAATAGTGTCAGACGGAGAGTAGAGGAGCGAAAAAGTAGAAGAGGAAGAGAGAGAAAGAAGAGAAACAGTTACGGAGGATTGGTCCGTAAGCGGTCGACTCGAGTGCTGCGCGCAGAGCGACATATTTTGTACATATAAGGAGGCAAAAAGAAAAAAAGTGAGAGAGATTTCTGTGTAAGGGAAAAAGAGTCACATTTTGTACGATTCCATTGTTGAGGGTATCAAAAAGCATTTATTTTTGTATAGAGATTATAGCCGGCAGGACCGGGGCCTGGGGCCCGTTTGCGTGAGCGGCGCCCCCTTCGAGAGGGGGGCGCGCTGACGGCTGCTCGTCTCGGTCCTTTCATCGAACAAGACTGATTAAGCGCGACACGATAGCGTATACATATACATCCACTCTTTCGGTTGCATATTTTATTCCGTGGCTGCTGCGCGCGATTTCTCGCGTACGACTCTGAACGGAGAGAGATCGTAGACGACACACAGCGGAAACAGGTAGTCACTTTTAGACCTTGCGGGCAGGCGAACCGTGCGCACGATCACGCGAGGAAAAAAATATCGCGGAAAGAGAGAGGAACGAAAATAAAAGCCAAAAAAAAGCAAACAAAACCATCAAAACGGAAAATCCATACAAAGGGAAAAAAAAACAGATCGAGAAAGGGGAGGTAAAACGAGAACTGTGGTAAAACTGTGATTTCATAGAGATTCCGATGAAAATAGCGTGACTGACCGGGGATCGCGCAGCGCGATCGTCCTCTTTTTGATACGCGTACCTTTCGTAGAGCATTTCGGCAAACGAGAAGGATAACGGCGTCATTCGAAGAAAAAAAAAAAAAAGAGAGAAACACAAAAGAAACGAAAAGCGAAAAAAGCACAAAAATAGCTCACATCCGGAAAAAGGAAAAGTCGTTTCTCCGATCCAATTCATTTCGCGCGCCCTCCCTCTCTCGTCGAAGAGGAGGAGGGTGTTCGAAGTATCTCACTCCTGAGTCGAGCGAAAATAGTTCCGAGAACACACTCGTTTCACCACCACCCACCCGTTGAAAAATAAAAGGGCTGCCGCTCCGGTCGCGTGCGCGTCCGCATGATTACGAGAGGGCGATTATATAGGATGTGTGATGAGCGACGCGCACATTAGCGGTAGGAGACAGCGGCAGCTGCAGCAGATGCAGCCATCGACTTCCGGGCCTTCAGGTGTTCCGAATTTTTCGTTCGTCCCTTTAGCCACCCTTAACGAGCGTTGAGATTTTCCAAGATTATCCGCGTTCGGTTCCCCGCAATTTCCTCCACCTTTCGATTCTTCTTCTTCTTTTTATTTTCATTTTCTTCTTTCATTTTTCTTTTCACTTTGTTTAATCGTGACGGCCGCGCGGCTGATTCGCCCCATTAAAGAGTAACATTCATTCCCACTGTAGGGTAGGAGTCTTCGTTTGCGACGTATCCTTCCCCTCTCCATCCCCCTTCCCTTTTGATCCTTCCCCCTTAACCCTTCCTCCCCCCGCCCACATCCTCTCCCGCTTCCCATCCTCCTTTATTTCCCTCTTACGAATGCGCCCTTCCGTCGTTTCCCGTCACTTCCGTCACCTCCCCCGTCACTTATCTCCCACGACTTTTCTAGATTTCGAAATCTAACTACGATTCGCCGCTACTCGTTTTTCGGTAGAAAGATAACGAAGAAAAAAAAAGGAATATCTATACACTTATTGTATATCGTACATTTTTCGTAGAATATTGCCCGAGGCTTTTTGTATTCGACACAAAATTCATTTTGTGTCCGATAGAAATCGCGCTCGCAAGTTGTAAACACCAAAAAGAGCAAAAGACCACTTAAGAAGATCGTCAGTTTAAGTCGTGTCTCAGTCTAAGTTATATCACGATCACATTTCGCTCGCTGTTGCATCATTCTGGCAGGAGGTACATATAATCGTAACGAGACTGCGATCTTAAAGTCATGAATTCGGAACTATGCAAGTTGAGACCGATTTGAAGAAACGACCGCCAATCGTCCGCACGAATTCATGAATTTAGGAGCGTTTAGGCGAGTGATTTGTATTTCACGTAGATAATCACATTCAGGGAGATCATCGCTTTAGGTCGCGATTAAGTTGTGACACACGTTAACCACTTGTATCTCCGCTCGCTCTGTTGTATCATTGAACTTCCACGAGAAAGAAAAAGGGATAAATGTAACGATTAATAACGGGCCGAGAAAATTTATGCGAATTCATGATTTCAGGCTCTCACGACAGGCGAAAACACGTATTCGTACTAAACGCACACTCACAATTCTGAAACTGGTGTTTTACTAGGTGTTATTTGCGATACTTGATGTAAATTAACGATCGATATTACTGTCGAGTTACTAAGTTATTGTAGATCCGTAGTGGATAGCTGTGAACGATCTAAGGCTTAAGATTAAGAAGCGTATCCGGGCGTTTTATCCAGTTCGAACGAACGAACGTACAATGCGGACATTTTGATAGACGAGTCCTTCATGCTCACGGAACCCTTCGGGGTCAGGAGAGTGCTTTTTACATATTGATTCGATCTAATTTCCTTCGCGACACTTCCAAGCTCGCCAGCAGTGTATTCGGTTGATTGTCGATTCTCGACTTATTCTATATTGCGTGCTCTTAGAAAATAACTGCAAAGTAAGATAATCGCAACGTATATCCGGTATATTCGCGGCGCGCATCACTCTCCAAGGCATTTTGATCGCGCGCTCGTATCATCCTGCGAATTTATACACATTTACTATTTAGACTTATTTAGAGTAATCCGCGTATCGGAAAAAACAGTCGCGCCAGAACCGCCACGGCCGTCGCGTAACTTTCGTATTCCGGGAAAGTTACGGGGCGGCCGTAGGCGGTTTTGCGCTGCGGTTACGCGTTGAAGGAACGTTAAAAAATACATTTAAAAAATGCGCATTAGCGTATAGCACGACGTCTGAATCAGCTGGACATTCCGCGATAATTTTAACGCGCGTTGCTTTCGATTCGCGCCGACACTCTTTCCACACTCTCGAAATCAAAACCGAGCGTCACGCTTGATCAGACAAATATCTCGAAAAAAATACTCTTCAGTCGGGTGCATCTTCGGATTTTACACGTGAACATCAGAGAATTCTCTCGGCATCCAAAACACATAGACATCGCACGCGCGAAAGAATTCTTCCGGAATTTACCATCAAAATCTGCGAGAAGAAAGGCAAGTTACAAAAACCGGATAAAGCAATTTAGAATAACGGCATTCTCGAGACTAAATTAACGAGGTGTGTTTCGAATTGCAAATCAATCGGAAAGTGATTACAGTTGTATTTTCGGCTTGCGTTATCGATTATTATTATTATTGAATTATCATCACATATAAGGGAAGAATATTGAGTCCTCGAGGTTTCATCAGTAGTAAATAATTTCCGGCTAATTCTCCTCTTCCGCAGGATCCTGCCAGCTTTCTTCCGCTGCAGGATCCTGCGGAAGACGGAATTGGACCGTTGCAGCAGTACTTCCGCCCTATATTAACGTATCTTTAAGTGAGCTTCCAACACTTTCCTGAAAGAGCAACGTATCGTTCACTTTACGAAAGAAGATCCACATCAAATCGACTACCTCACGACTTGAATATACGAGACAAAACACACGTGGCATAGTTTGCAAATTACGTTGATCTTAGCAAAAGTATGTTACTCCGTGTTTGATGAGCTCCACAAATTGATAGACATGAAGACAAATAGAGGAAAGGCACCAATACCAATATATTATTTTGTGTGATTTTAGGCTATATCTCTAAAATGGAAACTCCAAAATATCAATTTCTTGTCACATATATATACGTATATACGTACTGGGGACCCCTCCCCTGTTATTATTCGGCACTATTATAATCTCTACAAATGATCTGTAACTTTTAAGCAAATAGAGCTTTCGTGTAAGGTAAAAATGAGAAGGGAAAAATGTGATATGAGAAAACTGAGATATTGGAATCCAAAATTGACATATCTATTTAAAAGTACATAACATGACCAAAATATGGAAATACTCAATGATATAATCAATTATTAAATTACGCAAAAAATTCGTTAACAGAATGAAAAATAAAATAAGATTTTCTCTTATTTTTGGCTTGGAGTTTATAAAGGGTTCAAAAGTACAATAATACGGTATATCGGTTCGAAATGTATCCAGACTGAATCTTCCAAACCACACAGTCGGAGAAGCAATAAAAGATGAAGATAAAACAGTTTTCGCAAAAACGTAAATCTATACAAGAATCTATACAAAACACCTCGATATTACTTTTGAGAAATAGAGATGTGTCACTTTGGGAGACTTATGTCAGAGCATAGGCGCCTTTCCTCTAATCTAAACAGGGAAAAAGTCACAGATATATCGAAACGACAAAACACTGACAGTACGCAAAGTCCGGAAAATTCCAATCATGCAACGCAAATTTTATAATTTGAGGCCATCTTTCGTGTTTCACCACAAATGTAAAAAAGACGAAGCAATGAATCGCTTGGACAAAGTTCTAAAAATTCACATCAGTAACGTCACGTAATATATATGAAGCATGATCGCGAAATGGGACGCATTTCCTGGCTACATTAACTAAAAGTTGTAATATTTGCGCTACCGTATATTCTCGATGCAATAAACAAATTTCTAATAATATCCAGGTGAACGCGGAATAAGCAGCAAGTAGACTGAAACACTCCAAGTTAAATACCGTAGAAAAGAAACAATTTTTGCGAAACTTTCCAGAATAAAATCGCACATTAAAATATATAAGGTATGTAAAAATAAAATTCACGATTAAAATGTCGATTAGCAAAATACAAGAGTATAAATTACTAATAATTTCGGTACGATAAAATCACTTCCGACTAAAAGCAAAATCGTACAAACAAAATACTTAACTCTGTACTGAAACATTCCGATCATAGATATTTATATGGAGCAAATTGAGTAAAAAATAGGCACTTCATATAAAACGTTTTGCTATTCTGCAAAGGCAATATAAAGAACAAGCATAGACTAAAAACTACATTCTGTTCGCAAAATCTGTAAAGGCAAAATAATCGGAAAAGTAAGACCAGAAATTCTTTCACTTGCGAGGCTATCGCTTTAGATCTAATTCCAGGCCACAGAAATCAACAAAAACAGCGCAGGATATCGATTTTCGATCTAATCAAACCACGCAAAGTTCCGTTTCGATCACTGAATGCGAAATTGCTTCAGATACTAACCTGAAAATTATTATTGTCCAACTGGATCGTGCTAGATCCACTTGAATTCTGACGCGCCACATTCCTCCACGGCCGGTAGTATGTATTCCCAAAAATCGATCGGAGGGGGGGTCGATTGAGACCGAGGCCGGTGAAACCGGATATCAGGTCGTCACGGTGGAGGCCGGTGCCAAAGTGCTGATCCATCAGCCGTGAGATGGGACGATCGAAGTCCTCCCACCAGTCGCGAAAAACGAGCGGCACGACCGACATCTGCAAATCGAAGCACGGTATCACCACGACCGTTTGACACTTTCTCTCACGATCAGTTAAAGGAGGTTCTAGCGCTACTTTTTAGTCAATGAGTACTTCATTAATAAAATTGTGTAAACCGGCTAAAAAATCATTTCGCAACAATATTAATGAGATGAAATTTATAAACGTCGATTTACGGTTTCTTCGTTTTTTTTTGTTTTACAAGCTATCAAACATTTTAAAAGTGACAAAATAATATAAGAGTTCCAAGACTCTCCCATTTGGCCAATACTAAGAAATATCAATATTAGAAAAGAAATATGTACATGAATAATATATTTATTATTGTGTTTGATAAATGATCAGTTTAACTTTAATTGCAGATTAACACTTTTAGTTTGTTAATTTATTACAGTTTTAATTAACAGGTGTCAGGAGTATTTCGCTCTACAATTTATATTGAATTTGACAAAAGCGAGATATTTGCATATTGATAGTACTAATTATATCAGCATATAAGAGCCTAAGCACAAAGCGGTAATAACCGTTTCTGACAGAGTTACAAATCAATATACTGATTGTCAATAAAGTCAGTCGAGTCAAAAAAGTCGCAAGTCTGTAAACCTTTACGATACTGTTGGAAACGATTAGAATAATTTTTATGTTCAAGTCCTAACAAAATAAACAAATATGAGCTAAATTAACCTATTTAGGTAGTTATGCACGCAACAGCGATTAGAGTGCTCTTGTAAATATATATTTTTTCATATTTATCAACAAATTTAGTTATTGATAAATTTAACTCTTAAAATATAAGAATTTCATAAAAATTTATATGAGCGGTTATTTCAAATCTGACTCTGATTCATCATATTTGCGATTTTGCCACATTGTCATTCATATATTGTCGATTTGGCAAATATTCTTATATACAAATATTCAAATATTCTTATACATTTCATCGAAAGAACTATTTCATCGAAAGAACTATTTAAGATTTCTCCTAAACCTGACGGCAAATTTATAGGAAATCACAAATTAAAGTATATTTAAATGTTTATGTTATAATTACAAGTTCCTTTAATTTTTTTTTATATATAAAATTTCAAATCAAAAGAAATATTTTGTATTGAAATTATGAGAATCTGCATGTACTTACAATGCAAAGTTCATAAATTAAAATCTTGGAAATAATACGGTAAGAATTATTGAAATTTATACATTGTAAGATTTCGATGAACTATCGTATCGTGTACATATTACAAATTTATCTATTATTTGGTTAAACGCTAGAACCTTCTTAATAAAAAGAAAAAAAAAGAAAAAAAAATGTCATCGAGGGTTCATAGAAGGATAAAGTATAGACGTCCTGGGCGAGAAATAGGCATGAATGAGCGACAATTTGGAAAATATAAGACAAATGGGGCATAAACGTTAACTCTAAGTCTTAAGTTTATAGTGTATAAGAAAATATAACATCGATATCGTGGGACAATTAATTAAGTAATTACTCTCTCAGAGAGATACTTGCTATTGATACAAATGACGATGCATAAAGCGTGTACATTAATAGCATTATGCACACCTCATATACTTTGTAGGGAATGCTTCGAGATTTAGACCCACCGGTGACGCGAAAGACTCGTTAATCCCGGAATTGATGAGAATTTAGTAGGTCATCGGTTGGACTTACCTTTATTTTATGCATTAACCGAGTTATGCACAATAATTAACACGTAAGAGCGCGTCGGCCGACATGCAACTACATGCACGCCGATGTATTAGTTGTTAATTCTCCCTTCATTAAACATGTTAAGATGCGTGTGCGCATAACGAACGAGCAACGAACGAATAGCGAATGCAAACTTTCGTTGTTACATTTGGACAAATGCGTATGTTATAACAAATCGGAACGTTTCGGGCCGATTTGTTCATAAGACGGCTGATCAGATGGTTTTAAAGAAAGTTCGCGCGCGTTTAGACGCGAATGCATCTTTCGTTATTCGTGCGCTAGGTGTGCACGCACCTTTACACGTGCGAAGCATCGCGCGTGCAAACATGCCCTCCCCTCGAACTTATATTCTTTCCTTCAATTCGCGACGTAACAACCCTCGCGTGAACGAATTCAAAGGCACTTAAATCTTGGTAAGGGTTACATCCGTACAAGACTTGTCCGACTCTACAAAATCTACACGAACGACGTGAGGATCAGTAGAGATAGTGTTAGACATCGTTTTCTCCATTCACGGTAAACACCTGGCGGTAAAAAAAAAAACTTGACGAATCGCTAACATAGTTTATAGTCGTAAGCTAGTGATATATAAGACACGGGAGCTCGATCGATGTCTCAGAGAAACAAAAAACTAGTCCGTAAGATTACCGTAGAGGATTAAGCGAAAATTCAATCTCTCGAGTTGACGGATTCATTCGGGATAAGTGTAGACAACAATCAAGCGAGATGGCACAACGATGAAGATTATATTCAGATATTGCAGGTACTAGAGTTTAAAATCGGTCGCGACCCCCCACGGCTACATATTCGGTCATTTGCATCCAAAGTATACGCGGTTTGCGCCGTTACCAAAAAACAATACCAATACGGTGAAGTGTATCGCGCGACTCGCGGTAAAATTCCTTCTCTCATGGTCTCACATACGTTTCTCTTCTACGACTATAATAGTCATTCACGGAGACAGCTGGGTGGGGGGAGGGGAGATTTCTGAGGGCGAGGACATAAGGACCGTTAGTTTAAGATTATGTCGCACAAAAAAATCAGATAAAAATACCGATAAGCTCATCTTGCGCTTCAGCAACAACAAATGGAGAACGTAATGGCAAATTATTACACTTAAGTAATCCGCACAGTAATCGTAAGTTAAACTACATAAAATTAATAAGACATTTACGTGATTCGTGTCGTAATCATAAGTTAAAATACAGACAAAACTAATAAGACTATGAATAGGGATATCGATAAGATTTCTGGATTGGAGGACGCGACGGGTTAACGAGAGAGAGAATATTTGAGTTATGAAAACGCACGCACATACAAACACACACATACAAAAAAAAAAAAAAAGAACACCGAACGGTGCTACCGTACTTTTCCACGTGGAACGTAAGAGACTTCGTCGTCGCTCGAAGATTACCAGATGATTCCAGAGTCGACTCGACTTCTGATTTGGCGCGAGTCGTTGGTCTATCTTAAATAGTCGTCGGCGGCGGCGTCCCGACGCCGCGGTGTGGAGGCGTGCTCCTACAATGTCACGTGACGTTCACTGACTGTCTTGCCCAAAAATATACCGACTTGCACACGAGCGCGATTTTGACTATCGAAATTGACTTCGCCGTATTCGCGGTAGAACATCTCGAACTTACATGCTACATTCGATCGATACCATTCTTGCCGAACGGAAGCACCGAAACGTTACATTCGCCAGACGGAATATCAACGAAGCGTGTTATCCGGAATCATTTCGCTCATCACGGCCGAACTTGCACTAAAACTAAAACTTAAGAACTTAACCTAGCTTGATAATAACCTACCGACTTATAATTAATTATAATTATGATAAATTTATATCCAAATTACGATAAATAAGAACATAGCCGAATAAGAACTTCTGACCTGACTATAAAGGAAAAATAATGCAAACACCGGAGATATAATTGAAATAGAAATTAAATCATCACCGGCCAACCGCGACGATCAGCTTGGTAGGCATTCGGCTTGTCCAACTCTGTGACGAACGCTCAACATTTCTCAATCGCATCGCGAACGAAAATACTACTGATCCGTGTACAGATGAAATTCTCAATCTCGCGTGCAAATATATCGAGTTGACTCGAGTTACCGAAAATTTGAGAACACGGAGTGCTAAGAGAACGCTTTCTTAATGCGGCTTTCGCCCACGCACGTTATTTTAGGATATCGGATTATACGCATTTCTCCCTGAAGATACGTTTGCCTCGGTTCCGCTTCTTTTTCGTTCCACATGCAAACGCACACATGCATACATGCACAGAACACACACACATATATATATATATACACACACGCACACACACACATATACGAGGAAAATTAACGCCGGTGTTAGTTTCGTACGACAACTTCACGATAATAGAAATCTCGTTGAGCCGTCATATGTAACATCTTTGAATTCCTTCAATTCCATTATTTTGATTGATAATCGCGCGTGAGCACACTTTGTCCGAGCTTCCTCAGATTATTCTACGTTGCAAAGGTGTTTAATCAGTTTCGCAGTTTATCGCGCTTCGCATGATTCAATTCTGTTAGTAACGGACAACAATCTACAAAGGCGGAGATTTATTATACGATGCGGAGTCCTACGTGCTATCTCGCTTAATAAGGTATCTCACCTAATAAAGTAAAGCTATGTACCTATAATATAATAAAGCTCTGCTACTATATAGCTATGTAAGCTATGATATAACTGAAAGAGGGAACTATTGGAACAAAGGATAAAAAAACAAATTGCAAAAAAACGACGTGCACGTCACAAAAAAAAAAAAAGAAGAAGGAGAAGGAGACTTAGGATATACGTCCTACTAATACCAGTTAAGAACTTATTGTGTTAGTCGATACGGTTGGTCTACTACTGATTACTACTACTCCGCGAATTCCATCTGCTGGCGGCAAGTGCTGATGAAACAATCTGAATACGAAATAGATCTTGATTCACGTTTTGTCTAAAAATACGCCACTTGTCACCAACAATGAGCAACACGTGCGGAACACCCGCGTCCCGATTAAAATGAGCAAATTTTTACGTCACGGTAAAAGTGAGTCGGTCGAAAAGTTTGATCCAAATTTTTTTTTAACAAATAACGTCACATTCACATAATACGGATAACAATGCTAACGACGTCTGATCTGTATTATATATTGTAAAAATGACATTTTCACGGCGATTCTTCGGTTGATGAATAATTCGTTTCCATTGTGTGAATGCAGAAATAAAATCAAACCCGACTCAAAAATTGAATCAAATCTTTGGACTGACTTAATAAATGAATATGTCTTGTGATGTTGCGATATCTCAGCCAGATAGCCGTTATCAAAACGTAACCGACTAATTTGAAATAAAAAATCTCAGATTACAAAGGAAATTATCGATATCTAAACCTTGAGTTTCATAGTCGGAAGCAAAGAAAGATTATTTATTCACGGCAGAGAAACTGTAAAATTACTTAACAATGAAACATCCAAATCACATGTTCGGCGAAGCACTTGTGGCAGTTGTATCGGAAACGCGAGTAATTTAATTTTAAGCATTAAGCGTGCTAGACCCTCAAACGAATCATATTATGTGGCATTACAGTAGTAATGATAAGCTCATAATTAAGTTACCCTATCTAGCCTCTATTACTTGATCGACCAATGACAATTCAGAAATATTCGCGCAGCCGCCGTAAACAATTGCATCTTAATCCTTGCCGAACGATACCTGGATCGGAGCTGACCCGGGCGCTGGCCTGTGAGGTTGCTGGAACTATCGGTATCAAGCGAGGGTTAAGATCATAATCAAAAACATTACGTGTAAAATGTTCTATGTGTTTACTATGTGGTAATGGTTATATTTACGCGTACACGGCGTGTGTCAGGCTAAATATCCATTTTAAGAGTGACTTGATATTCTGGTTGTCTTTTCGTCTAGAGATAAGAACTTAATATGTCTCGACACTGGATAAAACGGCCACGAATTAATTGTACGTTCTGTAGAGAAAACTATGATGTAAAAGCTTGCGCGATCTGTGTGCGTACGTGTGCACACACACGTCAGCAGCATCCGTGCAAATCCTCACGATGAATGTGACTTAGTAACCATCCGTTAACGCGATACTTGTAACTCGATGGACTATTGATGTTATACCGATCCTTTGGTTTGTAACAGCATATATAAACGTAATTATCGTCCTTAGATGCAAACAACATTATGTCAGGGCAGGCTTAGGTTGAGAGAGCGAGTGCGCATACTTCATGTATCGACAAACAAACAAAAAGAAAGGAGTTTGTATTTCGTATGATCATATCTATACGCTTCGTTTGGTCGAAATTACACGAAATTCCATCCGGATACGGCTTATACTTACTTATACTCGGTTCTATTTAATTTTGTATTCATGCAGCGCATGGAAATAGGCCCGATGCCATTTCTTGGCTAAAAGAAACAATAAAGTGGAATCCGACATATACATTAGTGTGAGTCTTCTTTTCGATTTAATGTTATACCAATCCTCACATCCACATACAAGTAGCCCGTTGTCGTGGAAAATCGACGTCAAAATTGGACGAAAAATTGAGTTCTGGCTAAAGGAGAGAGATCGGGGATATATGTGAATCAAGTCGATGTCTTTTGGTGATTCTCATTTATTCGCTAGCCGCTCCAAGATGTACAAATTAATTATTACCAGCACGCATCGAAACCACAGCGGAGATTTTGTTCGCAATAACGCAGTCGCGGAAGTTGCAAAGGTATTTCTGACACTTTATGCTATGTGCGTCTTGCTGATGTGCGTCACGTACTTAAAATAGTAATACGATGAGGGTCGTTCAGAGGAAGTGAAGTTACATTTAAATAAGAATAATACACAATATAATACACTAATGAGACGAAACGGCAAATTACACACATATGCGCGCAAACACACACACACACACACACACACACACACATATATATATATGATGTGTATATTTCTATTTTTTATTCAAAAACTACTCGAAAGCACGTGACATCATTGTTCTATATTTAAATACGTAAATACTATACATATGACTGTTTAACCGCAGCATTGTATATAAATACATAACGAAACATAAAATAAAACGACGCTTTTCCATCTTACCGCGGTAATCGTGGTATGTGCAGGTCGGGATGTTGTTGTATCTTCTCGACGTCTTGCAAAGTAGATATACCTTGTTCCTGTGAGACATACAAATCGTGAATTGTTGTATATTAGTAAATGAACACACAGGGGCAATCAAAATTAAAATTAAGAATATTTAGAGATCCGATATTCGTTTCTCCATCTTCAGATCATAGAGCGATATTATCGTAGAACTATAAAAGAGAACAATGCTAAAATAATAATCATCATAGAGAATTATAAAGAATGCAGTTGTCTCATATTAAAATTATCTCTCGAGATACTCTTATTGTACATTAAATTAAAATCGATGTCTCACATTGTACTCTTTCCATTTCTCATAGTTTTGTCGCATGTAGCCCACCATTTCCGGCATGTCGATGAACGCTGCAGAATAAATAGAGGATTAATAATGATTCAAACGTATTTTCGGAAACGAATGAAGCTCGGAAAGTAACGGAAAGAACAAACCATCCCAAGCCTCGATCATGTCGTTGATAATAAAGTCGACGAAGCCAATTTGCGATTTCGGTATCGAGCATGTCTGTCTATCGAACATCGGCATTACCACCGGCATCTTCAGCTTTTTCTCCTCGTCGGTCTAAAAATGATCAATGAACGCGTACATATATAAATACGTGCATATATACGCACGTAAACGTCGGAACAATTGATCGCTCTTTTTCGGAATGTACAATGTTTCTCTTGGCTGCGAGTTGTATGTTTACCTGACAGAAATACTCCTCGGCAATCCGTCTCGCCCATTCGACGCAACTCTTCAGCGGACGCGTTGGATTGGACACGTCCGCGCACTTGATCATCATTCTTTTAATTAATATTACGTTATCCGGTTGCAACACCACGGACATGTCCAGAGAGTTCGCATAAGACTGCGGAAAATTATTCTGAATTTATCCCCCGTCAATTTTACCGATTGCGTTTTTATATTTCGGATATTTCGTGTATCGTCAATTAAGATAGAAATTTGCAATTAGCCACATATGTGAAAAGTGGACGTATGATACATCCATATCGATGCAGCAACGCAACATACACTACCTCAACTTGACCGTCACCGATTCTCGCGCTACAGACATTCATGAACTTCGCCAGGTGCTCAAAGTGCTTCGTCATTTCGGTCGCCAGAATCATGTCAATGACATTTTGTCGCAACAGTTTGTACGTTTCTCGATCCAGATTCTGGAGCAGGCGTTTAATCCCGTTTTACATCATCGGATTACTCCTCGCACGATCGCGATCGATCATGCGATACAGAGCGCTCAAGGAGGGACTTACTTTAAAAATGTTCACGCTATCGTCGGATAACGATAATTTGAACGTTAAGGCTGCGTGATGCGACTCGAGCACCGACAGATCGTTATAGAGTATCGCCAAACGGTTGTTCGCGTTGCAAAGGAACTGGCTGTAAGAAAATTTCTCTTTCATTTCCCGACATCCGACCGGTACATTCTCAATTCATTCTTAGAAATTTATGAACTTTTGCCGAAGATACGCGGAGATTCTAAGCACGTCGGAGAAAAACGTAACTGAACGGGAGAATTCATAGTTTCGGAAATATTCTATGCGAACTGATGTTACACGTGGACGCGATGTAAACATATTGAATGGGGGAAATAAAATGTTTGCTGATGCATTTTGCCTTATCTGCCGGTATGGAAAGTGACTTGTGTCACCTGGATCGTCCGGGATGATCGATATCGTGCGCGGCCGCGGCGATTAAAGCGGCAACCTCGTCCAAGGGCTCCAAAATCTCCTTCAGTCTCTTCGATTGCATGAAGGTCGCGGTCGCCTGCATGACATCCGCGGCGTGCGTCGAATTGTGATAACTGTTCTCCGATATGTAATTGTATTCGATAATCGACAGCCAATTCTGCATGACCTTCTCGTCGCAGTTCAATTTAGCGGGCACTTGGTACAAATTCATGATCGTCAATCCCAGAAAAACGAGCGGCCTGTAACATTCGTACAGATCGAGGTGGCATCAATTTACCGATAGGTCATGTTAAAATATCTCGAATACCAGACGGTACACGCTAAAAATAATCATGTCCGCTCCGAACCAACGTTAATAAGTAAGCTGATCTTGGGATCATTTTACGATGAAGCACGAACATATTTCGCGACCCACCTTCCCTCCGTCAGCACTTCGAGCTTAAATATCTCAAACTCCCACTCGAGACTGCTGTCCAATATGTCCGCGATTTCCTGCGGCCCGCGGAAATTTTTCATGGATATACGCGCATTGGTCGGGCCCATGGCGGGTTTGATGGTGGACAATCTTGCGGAGTCCGCCGACGATCTTCTCGAGTCCCACGTTCGGGAGGACTGCTAAACCGATCGGCAACATAAGATATCGGAAAATGCTGAAGCACCGATGGAGCGTGTGTCTCGCACAATCTGGATCCGCACGAGCATACATCTTTTTTTTCGTCGAGCGAAGCAAAGGGAACGGAATAAAGGTTCTTACGGAAAGTAACGCGCCAACGAGATCCGTCGCGACCGGATCATTGTAGATTTTGTCCTCCTTAAGGTGTGGCACGTAAAGCTCCGTCGTCTTTAAGATATCGATTGCCTGGAAAATACGACGCACAACGTGTAACTAATTGGATAGGCGTGTCTATACGATACGGGGAAACGATACGAGGATTTCCCTTAATCACGAAACGCACCTTATCAATCTGAGCCGCTGTTTCCGTGTTAGTCGTGTCCGTCACCGCATTCGAAAGTAACGTAATCACTTTGGTAATGGGGGCTTCCAGTTGCAAGGTGTGCAGTTTCTGCAAGCTGGATCGCCGGCGGCCTGCGATGAAAACACGATCTCTCATAATGGCGCTTATATAAAGGACCGATTAATGCATTAAGAAGCTGAAGTATCGTTTAATAATGTTGGAACGACTTTGAAGGGATCGTGAAGCTGCTGATCGTTGAAGCTTTGTACTTCAGACATATCGATTGTGAACTTTTATGATAGAACGTCAATGGAATCTTAGTCTCCCACGTGTATAGTTTCAATGATCTTTCGTCTCTAATAACGTATCGATGCAGACTAATACCGTGACGACCGGTCGTAAAGCTGTTACTCAATATCTATAAAAGGCATTCTAGTTCTGTGCTATTAAGTTTCTCGACGTGTTTACGACGATGACATGATTGATATCTGACACACACGATAACTCTTTAACGTAAAAGTAGCGTTAAGTGTCATAAGATGCATCGTAAGATTCCCGCGATGACCTGATTAATACCTTCAAATACGTTCGCACTTGTATCGATAAACTGTAGCAATAACTGTCTGCTTCGATTGGATGATAATATTAATATAATATTTTAATTTTTATAATTTTAATTATAATTTTTCGCCGTCGCGGTCGGTCGATGTGTCAATGTATCACATATAATGAATTCGTTGAAATACCTTACCCTCGCTTATAGCAGATCTGACGTCCGAGTGTTTTCGCGCGTTCGACAATATGCTCGTCCTTAGAGGAGGATGCAACGGGCTAGCGATTGGGCTTATCGGCGCTATATTTTCTGACAGATACGTGGTGTCGTATACGTATATGTAATGAGTTGGTTTTCTATAGATATAATAGTTGATGGAATATATTAATAATGAGATAATTAATATAATTTAACAGGGATGGGATAAATTAATATGACGATGGCTTCTACGTTAAGATATCCATCTCGATCGCGACAATGCCTTCATCGGAAAATATAAATCACGGCTAAGTGACGAAATCTCATCGAGAAGCGCAAATTTGAATATAAGTGTGTAATTTATTGGATCTCAAGCGGCGAAAAGTTTCTTCAGTTTCGTGACAGCGGAGCGCAACGATAAAAAGAACGTACTTCAGCGTGGTGCAGAACGGAATTATCCGGCAATTGATCGTGATTATTTGGTTATTCTTCCTCTTGCAATTCATATTCCCCTCGAATTCCCGGCCTTTACTCAACTGCTGCTCCATTAGAGCGAAATTTTCGTAGAAGACTATCTCCGAGAGATTTCTCCCCATCATTTCCTCTAGCGTATATCCTAACAATTTTTCGCTGACTTTATTTAGAAACTAAAAATAACATGACATTATAATCTACAAATATCGACTTTGGAAATATATTGTTTCTTCGTTTCAACGAGATATATAAATACCGAACGGGTTACACGATGCGTGCAAACAAGTGCTTAAATTTTCTTTCGTTAAAGTAAAACATTATGAACAAAGCAATGCAAGACGTAATAAAACGTAATAACGAATTTCAAATCGTTACTCACGATACCTGTACAATGTTTTTATCGTTGGTTACATGCACCATATCGCGACATCTGTCAAGTGCCAAGTAGAGTGCATGCGCCGCTGCGAGTTGCGTTCTCGGCAACAACGAACTGGTATATATCCCGACTAATTCGTTTATTAGTATGCCTTCGTGCGAACATTCCATCATAGCCTGAAATACGAAAATGAATGTAAACGAAAACACCATTCGTGTTTGTCGTTTAATTTTTCGATGTTCATTCATAAGTGCTTACTCTACTAAAGCCTGTTTCTAACAAGTTCAGCGCAGCAATATGGTCTTTATCAGCGAGCATAAAGTATCTGGAAAACACACGAGATCCAGAAGTTCGACAGAATTCAAATAGGTATTTAGTACAAAAAGATAGAAAATGGAAAAAAAAAGTACTCGCAAAACTTACGATTTCTTCACGAGCGCTATAATGACAGAATTGTAGTGAACCGGACTTGACCTGAGCGCTCTGAAATGGATGTTTTTGAAAATTCAAATAAAATAATCACAAAATAAAAGAAAAATATAAAATGTATAAGACATATATTTAAGAAATTTAACTATATCATAGAAAAATAATTAATAAAAAATATATCGAGAGAACATGGTTATGGATAAAATTTCCTCTTGACAACTTGCTTTCTATTTATATATATTTAGAATAATTATTTTGATGTATGTAATTTTGATATCATCTTTTAATAAAATTTATTATATGAGGCTTTCCATGCATGTATTAAAAACTTTACTTAAAATTTAAAATCGTAGATAACTCTCTTTCTCTCTCTCTCTCTCTTTCTTGTTGGTTTTATATAATTTTTCATACGTATTATATGCAAACGTTATATATTATATAAACATTCTACCATACCTACAAATAGCATCGCCCTCGGCCGCACGATGTCCCCTATGATCGATGATCACCAATTCATGAGCACGATTTTGATAGAGCTCTATCGCTTTTTCCGCGTCTTTCGCCACCGATACACTCCAGCCCAATTTGCTCGCAGTCGTAGCAAGTATCTCCATTTGTTGGTCATCTTTGCTAAAGACTAATAATATCTGCGCAATAAGAAAACTACGTCATTAGAAGTACAGAGAAGGAAACCTGACTCTCTCAAGTGTGTGCGAGACACTATAAATTACGATCGTATCATAAACCTGTTGTCATCGTACTTACTTTCACAATACTAGGAACAGAGGTTGTCAACAGATGAGCATTGACGTCTTGAGGACCCTTCTGTGAACAAAGAAAAATATGGAAAGGTGAAATATGGAAATACGGAAAACTCTTTTTGAATAGTCAAGTAAAAAAGCGATTAAATATATTTTTGCCCAGACACTTTTCACTCTGCGAAGGGTAATGATTTTAATAAACAAATCTAATCAGAGATCTAATACACTGAAGCTTCGATATCACTATCGAATACATACTGGCCTCTCTATATCTAATATTGTCTTCTCGAGTAACTCGCAAATTTTTGCTCGACGACGCGCGCGTGGAGATTGTTCTACGGCTAAAGTGGTCTTGTGATACGTAACATTATCTTTCATTTTCACGACGTGCTAATAAATTAAGTTACATTATGGTATAACCCGTATATTGTATAACCCATCAGGTACACGACGATAATTGAATAACGTATTTAACAGTTGTACACAACTTCAAAGTGAAGTAATAGAAAGCGATCTTAAATTACGCGTTCGAGTTTCAACTTTCGTTTCGTCAGATACGACGGTGGAATATTTTACACCTGACGCGAAAAGGATTAACTCACTGTAACATCCCTCGGTAACATCCTTCTCTCTCTAAAGTATCGCATTTAAAAATGAATTTACGAATCACGAATACACGTGTGAAAGTTTCTCGAAATGATGATGTGCGTGAAATTCGTACCCTAATGAACTTTACGAATTGCAATTCGGTCGGAGTCGACTCGGTCACTTGCATCCCATTTTTAGAGTGGTATTTCTTCCGCATACGCCCGCACACGACATTGAAGATACTATTATACCAGGTCCGCGGTTCCTCTTTGTAAATATTATTGTCGTCAATTGTACTGGAGACAAAGAGCACCGGTTGAATGGATGGTCTCATCATCTTTCAATGTGTCTCTTATTAGCGAAGCGAAAACGACAAGGCAACGATGCATCACGCTGCACATTGGCAGCTCGAGTCTTGTCGATCGTGATTACACGTGATGTTCATCGTCGACATAATTCACGAATTAACGTCTCAATTTAAGGACGCATACTCTGTCCGGTTCCGGTTTGCAATGGAAAATTTCGCATGTTAACGGCGACTTTTAACTTCGTCTATTAGCTGTTGCGAATCACAGAATGTTACGTTACGTTTGAAGAGACGACCATCGCGATACTGATCACCGATCGAGACAGATAGCGAGATCATTCGCGCGATCAAGAACAGAAGTCTTTTAGATACGATAAGACGCCGGCGTAGCTAGCGTACTAGAATTCTTACGATTGCTGATAGTGCATTTTACGGAAACGTCGGATAAAAGTGCAATTTGCGAAAAAAAAGCATTCATAAACAAGCGATATCGCTTATTCCTTTTTTGCGGCACTTCAATTAACGTAGTACGATATTGTGACGTATAATATTTCTCAGCAAGTGTGTGTGTGTGTATGTCATATGTTCTATTATTTTCTAAATATTTTATATGCATCTTTAATTAAAATTAAAATCGCTTACGCTGCTAAAGTTTTAAGTGCCCATATGTTACAACTAATTTAGCTGTTGCGGATAATCTCTTTCTCCGTGTGTAAATTTTCAACTGACCCAGCAAGTAACATTACATTAATGTTATGAATTTCCCATTCAACAATGCGACTGTTATGTACAGCATGTTTTATATTGCATTTACATTGTTGAATTGGAAATTATAACATTGCTGAAACGATACTGTTAATTTAGCTGGGAAGATAGTAAATCGTCGTAAGGCGAAAGAATTCCTCGCGACTTACGAACACAGACATGAACATTCGAATCCGTGTTATTGAGCTGATCGTCTCGTGAATATCGCCTCTTGATCAATTGCAGAGATTCCGAAATCAGAGAGAAAGAGAAATTTTACAGATCGAATAGTCGCAAGTTCGAACCCCGTATTGCCTCGCGAGAACTATTCCCAATCAAAAAAGCGTACGCCAGAACGAAAGACCTACGAGACTCATGTAAATTTTTTTTAATTGCCGGGAGAAGGTAAAACATAGGAAGGGTGGAAAAGTTCGTTTGTCAAGCGTTCGCTCCGGAGAAAGTTCTCAGATCGGGAAAAAACCGCTTCGCGGGCAGAAAACTGCGTCGCTTCATCGACCCGTTGCGAGTCACTTCGAGGTACTAATTAATGAATAATCGCCTTCCTCAGAGGTGAACGTGCGACAGCGATAGGGTTATGATAATATGCGATTATTTCGTCACGCTGACTTCTCGTTTGCTTACGACCTGAAAGAAGGAAAAAAGAAACGATTATTAATCCGGGCAACCTTAACGAGCGTAGAGGGAAGGACATAGAGAAGTGCGGCGCGAAAATTCAGTAGCCGTTGCTACCAACGAGTTGCCTCATAAACTGACCGTTTAGCGTTTACTTCGGGCAAACGTATCGTCGCTTTTTTCAAAAAAAGCGCTATAGCTTCGAACTTCGTCCAACTTCCGAAACTGTCGAACTGGCGCACCTCTGACTACTCGATCGGAATAATTGCCGTGCGTGACAACTGCTCTTTCGCCCCGTCTGGACGAGCCGCTCGCTACTATAAGGGAGTACATAAGCGGGCGCGTTTGAGGGAAAACGATTAACGCGAGGGAGAGATTGTAAAACGGAGAAAATAAGAGACTAACGTCGTCGTACTCGAACGAGCACTTCGAGAGCGCGCACACACCTGGCGTTGCCTAACTAGGAAGTTCTCTCTCTCTCTCTCTCTTGCTCGAGTTTAGATACACTATAGCTCTCTTATCCTTACCCGTGGCAGCGAGCAGAGGGACTCCGGAGTGGCGTTTGCACGTCGGGAATAATGGAAAGTTCATCGCGTGGTAGCTTTACACTCGAAGGGCTCTCCGATAATTCCGAGTCGGCCGGGCGAGCACACGTCGCCGCCGGCCGCACGATTGATTTTCCTCCCTCGCCGTTTCGCACCAAATTGCCCGGCCGACAACAACACCCCCCCCCCCCCCCCCC